AAATTGACCAATAGTCTCTTGGTTCTTTTCACTCCTTTTTCTTTCTTCTCCAGCTGCTGATTGTTCACTTTTGGTTGGTCAGTCAACCTTGAGTGAATCCGATGGTCACTGGCACCAATTATGAGATTGCGACATTCGCCCATTCGATCCCTTCTGCTTGACCGTTTCGATCCAAGCTCTGCCTTGTATTCCCCTAATCTTCAGTTCTTTGTCTGACTCTGGGAAATTAATTGCATACCCAATTTTGGAGAGGCCCCTCCTCTGAAAAGTAGTGGTAGCAGAACATCGATCCACCCTAACTTTTTCCTTCTCGTATTGGTGCTTCATATCAATACTGCCCAAGGAGCATGTGCAGTTCCTTTGCCACCCTTGGTGTTCTACCTAGGCCTTTCATTTCAACAAATCCGATCTCTAGACTGCATGGCTGAGCAGGCGCTCCAATCATTAATTTTAATTAATGTTAAAAAATTTTTGTCAATGGAGTTCCTTGACCCCCTTCTGCTTTCCCAATCGGATATTCACTAGCTGCTCCCTTGACAGCCTCCTCTTGTGGCATTTCGGCCCTTATCTAAAGAAATTTTACTGCTCCAGCAATTTACACCTCTTCTTTTGACAAGTGATAAAGAAAAAAAAAAAAAAAAAAAAAAAAACACAAAAACAATTCAACTCTTTGTTTCCAGAACACCTTAAATTTTATCTCTTGACTGACTTTTCCTTACTGGCTTTATGTCCTGCAGATAATTCCTTAACCTGAATTTTAAAAACAATGTCTCCATTTCATACTCAGTTGTCAACTTTGGCCATATGGTCTTTTGTAGGAAAAAAAAATCAAATGTTTCTGTCCTTCTCTTCTGCCTTTATCCAAGGAAAAAAAGAAACCAAAACAAACCCTCCAAATTTAATAAATCTTGCCTTGTTTCTTAATATAGCTATCAAGTTATCCCCTCAAGTGTCACAGCTAAACAAATTCATTATCTTTTTAACTGTATAAAATAGATATGTAGCTGAAAATTTTTCAACTAGAAAACAAAGTTATGATTTACATTTGTAGTAGGAACACTGACCCCCAGAAACACATGTTAACCTCTTGATGATGTTTAATTAAGTCCCTTCAAAAACAGTCCAGTGTTACTACATCTGTTTTAGAAAAAAGTATTTAGAATATGAAATATAATGCAAGACTTCATGATGGCAATTATTTTTCAAATTAGGTATGTTTAGCTGTAGACATTATTCAAATGTAGCCCAGAGGCCTTATTTAGTACTTTCAAAGGAACATATTTAAAATCCTGCTTGTCTTAAATTTCAGGAATATATTTTAACTCCCTCACCAACCACAGCTGTTTCTAATAGCATTTCATTTTGAATGCATATTTTATTTGCTTTTCTTTGCATTGTATGCAACGAAATCTAAATTGTTAGGGTTCTTGCCTTTGTAAATAAATATTGTATGTTCTTGGTTCAAATAGCAGTAACATTCATTTTTGTAAATAGATGCACTGCTATGAAATCAATACAAAAATTATTTACAAAAGATCAAGTGATTCTTAATGGAATTTATACCAATTACCCATCCTTTGAAAGCTTGTTTCCTTCTTAAAATATTCATTTTTATACCCAATATAGTTACTACAGGGTGGCCCAAAAGTCATGTCATATTCCACCCTGGTAAAAAAAGTAATGAGAATAGAACAAGTAATACAAAGCACATCTACTGGATTCAGCTTATTTACTTTCATTGACACTGTCACACATCAAGGTCTGTATGAACATCATTTTTGTAGCACAAAATGATGTGGTGCCATGTCCAGTGTGATATTTTACGAAGCTGTACTTTGTTGATTGTTGCAAAGGTTCTCCAAATGGCATCCTTCAACAGATGGGTATTCTGGTATTGTTCATGTGAAACCTCTCCTTGATAATACTCCAGAGCAGTGAAATAGAAACATTATATTATGTAGGAGTGACAAGACCTTAGGACCACTTTGCAGATTCATTTTTGTGTCATAAGTTTTATTTTATTTTGTAAATTTAAGAATTTAACAGAATCCATAATACTTGGTTAATTTGTATTCATATAGCACTCTTGGGATGGGCACTTCGATGTGGTGTAATGGTTAGAAAACTTGTCTTGCTAGAACCATTACAAGTGAGTAGTGAGTTCAATCCTCACTGGGTGCTCCATACTTTCGGCCTTGTGCCACATCTCAGCTATGCTTGGAAAATTAATATAGCACTCTTGGGATTTGCCCTTCATGACTGATGTATTTTCATAAACCTCTTTCAAATTATATTCTTGATATTTTGAAGCCTGTGTGATAAGTTTTTATAAGACACATAATATAGTGAAAAACACCTTTCCTCCACTCAGCAAAATTATTTCTCAGTCTCTGAAATTACTGAACAATTGTGGCATTACACAGCTGAACTAATGATTGATTTAAAAGCCATTCTAATCTGGTGACTTGTAACCTCTGGATCAGTCTTTGTTTATGGCAACCAAGATTTAACCTTACCCTTGCCTGTCCATTTGATGATCGATCCCTGTGGATAGCCATCAAATTGGTCACTTTGATCCAAGCCTTGCTCTGTCCCATGTTGTGTTTGATTATGAGCTGGCAAGGATCAAATTGTCAACAGGAATTATGAGTGAAGTCACAAAATAAAAATAAATGTTCATGCAGGTAACAAAGAGAAGACTGGAACTTTTCTGTGTTTATATATCGTTCTTTGTACAGTTTGGTTAGATTTTGGTATTAAAATTATCAGTTCTTCCTTCTGAAAATATCAACCTTCCCCACTTCCTAAGTTAATGTGATACTTTGCTTGGTCTAGCTAAATCTGGAACAAAGCTTAAGTACTTTGGTTCTTATCTAAAGAAATCCTATTTCTTTAGTGATTTACACGTTCCACTTTTTGACAAGCCAATTAATTTTGCCTGTTTTCAAAATTTCTGTATTTCAATTGACCTTTTATGCAATCAGGAGACATGTTTTGTAACCTGCACTTTAATAAGCAGTCATAAATTAATTTTTCTATTTCTGCCTTGTTTAGTAAAATTCTTGTCTGACCTTAAATGTCCTTCCACCATCTCTTCCCATACCTCGTAGGTTTAGATTATCCAGACAGCCTTTTCAGCTATATCCTTCTGAACAAGGAATCTATTTTACTTCAAGTCACCCCTAACTTCCTTCTTTCGGTTTTATTCAAATGGAAGAAAAACTCTCTTAATTTAATATAATCTGGCTTCATCTCTCAGTATATACTTTAACCCTTCCAACGTATTATAGTGTCACAACTAGTGACACTATAAGGATTTTAGTTTAAATTCATATATTTTTCAGAGCAGTTTGTAGTCAATTGGTAGAAGTAAATCAATATAAAATTTGCTTTAGTCACTTAACTAAATGCTACTCAGTACTTTCATAAATGACAATTGTGCCTAAAATAAAAGTGTCTTGGAATCAGCAAAGATTCTCAAAAAAAATATTTTTGCTTAATGCTATTTTGAGTATCAAGAAATTAGGTTTATTTGGATTTTCAAAAATGCATTAACTAATGGGGACCTACTAACCACTTTGGTAAGAAAAAGCTTGATTTTTTTTTTTTTTTTAATTGTTACCAAATTGTAGAAAAGACCTTTAGTTTTCTCAAAGTTCAAACAGCATAAAAAAAAAAGAACAGAAAAAGTACAACTCTTACAGGATAATCTAGTTTTAATAATTAAAGAATCACATGAGCCAGGGATCAAAAAACAAACACAAAACATGATTCCAAGACAGACATCTTCATGTAATTCTTCATAACCATTAATTTTTACTGTTAGAAAATAATATACTCTGTTTGTCAATTTTCCAGTTGCCTTGTGTACACGAATGCTGCAAATACTAAAACTACAATTATGATTTATGTGTGAGAATGCAACTTTTTCAAGGATTGGAATTCTGCTGGTGTCATCTTTATATATTGGGTTTTGTCATTTTATTAATGGTTATGAAGATTTAAATTCACTGATAATGTTGGATAGATTGAATCTGAGAATTGATTAAATTCTTGCATTCTTATAAATTTTCTACATGCAACATTCTGTTCCATACTTATTTATGGTAAATGACATGTAAACATCTATTACAACAGAAATAATTATTTTCCATTTTAGACACATTTAAACAGTCTTCTCTCCAAGAATCCAAATACTGACATTTGTTACAGCAGCCAAATTGTTCATTTAATTCTATCAATTGTCATCACAAATTCAAAAGGAGATTATCTAATTCATGTCCATTACAGACATCAACTAAAATGCTTTGTTTGCCTATCTATAAAGACTTGGCAGAATGCGACCCCCCCTCCAAATCATTTTTGGGGAACATCTAAAGAGATCACTCCTGAGATTCAATGTGTAAAAATAACTTTTAGGGTGTAGAGGGAAAAATGCCCAATGACTCTCACTGTGTAAGTACAGCTATTTACAAAAATTGACAATTGTTATTAACAAAAAATATTTTCTTAAGATATATAGTGAGGAGGGTAAAGAGCATACTGGGAAATTTTTCTATTGACCACACCTTCCAAGGCTATATTTTAATGATGAAACATCAGAATACTGATTTTTGGGAAAACCTTTTCAGTACAACTGTATTTTCCATTATGATAGGAAGAAAAGGTTAATTTTCAGCTATCTTTTCACTCCTTGATGTCAGGATCGGTGTTTTTTTGTTTTTTTTAGGCCTAATTGCACACAATAGATCTCAGCATTTGATAAGAGGTGAGCCAGCAGTAATAAACAAAAACAAGAAACAATTGATTTGATTATATAATAAAGTTTACTTGTATTTTACAGTCTAACTTTGGTCAATTTGTCTCCCTTCAAATTGAATGCACAAGAAAATGAAGCTGACAAAATTAAAAGACAATGAATGGGGGGTTTTGTTTTCAGAGACCATATCAATGAGATTGCAGGGGTTGGGGAAATGGAGATGGAAAGGCTATTCGGAGTCTTAATACCGTCGCATATGCTTGTAGGCATCAAAACGAGGTTCTGGCATGCGGCCTCCCATGTTGCCACCACCTCCTCCCCCACCACCAACCATCATAGCAGGAGGTTGAGCCTGGGGATTGACAAACATATTTCCAGGTCCCATGTTTTGTACCATTCCACCAGCCCCAGGACCACCACCTCCTCCACTGCCTCCCACAAAACCTCCACTGCCAGCACCTCCACCTCCACTGTTGGGACCTCGGTCATGGTTAGGAGCCATATTGTTGTTTATCCACCTATCATTTGGACGATTCACACCAGAATTATCCATGTTACCATGTGGATGAGACCAAGCGTCGACTTTTCTGTCAAGACCAGAACCCCATGGAGTTCTTTGATCAGGAGGAGGAACAGCTGAGGAGAAGAAAGAAAATATTTTTTTAACTCAAAATGCTTGGGTAAACAAATCTAATGTTAAATGGCAAAAGGAAGAAAACTAAAAATGGTGATATAAAATGAAAATATTAAGTATTTTAAAGTCACATTTTCATGACTGCTAGGAATGCCAACATGCAAATATAACGAGCAACATGAATTAAAGTTTAAATAATCATGATGTTTCAGGCGTTGTATGTTTAAGCCTTCTTCAGGTGATATAGGCTGGAATTTCAAGCCGAACACTTAGTCCACAGGGATAGATTGTTCTAATTCCACATGCCATAACTTTTCTGGATATCTCCCTTTAGTAATTCACAATTTCTTTTCTTTTTTTTCACCTCTGCTGTGGCCTGGTATTGAACTCACAACTCTCTGGGTCAAGTCACTGGATTACTTCAACCAATGCTTTTACCCACTGGGCCATGTGGTTAAAATGGACACATGGTACAGTTTTTTTTTAAAAAAAACAAAAATAAACAAAGAGTCTATGGAATCTATTTTTCAACTTGTAAATGCAACAGGCTAAGTTAAAGAAAAAGAAAAAAAAAAATTGTCATAATGTAAGTAATCAAAATCAGATTATTCTCTCTTTATGCTTCAAACTGTTCCCATATGAATATCATACAGAAAAATGATCCCAATGTAATACATGCTGCCAAACATATCTGTGCATGCAATAATAGGTGGCTATCTTTTATGTGATTAATTCCAAAATAGTTAAGCAGATCTATCAAGATAAATTATATATAGAAGTTGACTTATCTATTTTGGCATTTAACCAAGACAGCATTTCCCCAGCTTGGCAGAATTTTCCCACCAAGCTGAAACTTATTCAGGGACTCAGTGAACAAAAACAGCAGTTTATTAGGAAAAGTAAATTGCTTACCAGGTGAATTTCTGACTCTCCCCAATCTGTCATGTGCAGAAACGTTTCTCCGATCAGAATCCCTCCCCCTGTCTGGCCCTAAGTCTCTCCGATCGGCTTCATGGTTCCGATCACTGCTGCGGTCTCTACCTGGTCCAACTTCTCTCCTGGAAGAAACAAGCACAAATGTAGATTATTCCATGTTTGGAAAATACTCACATGAACCATCTTCACATTTGTGATTTTTATAAATGGAATTTTATTAAAGGAAAATTGAATTATCTTCATAAGTTTTTTGTTTAGTTTCAATTGAAATGTTCAGAACATCTTTCAACAAAATCAAGTTTAACAATAAACATTTAAAACATTACAGAAGAAAAAACATTATCTGTAATGCTTCAATAAGAGAATTCAAATATAAAAGAGAATGAAGCTGTAAATTTACTGTTGAGGATTTTGACACTTATGCTCAACTACTATAGGTTTTTCATTTTCATTTAATATCATAAGTTTTTCAAACTACCTGGTGACTAATTCCAAGAGAATTGAAAACTTCTCAAATTGTGTAAAGTCTACAAATGTTACAAGGTAATGTTGCTTATAGAAAGAGAGAAGGAGAAAATAGGTGACAGGTGAAAATTACCTATCAAAGCGATCATCTGGGTGGCTGCGTTCATCAGGGCGCCTGTCATCCCTATCACGGAGATCTCTAACAGGCCCAATGTCTCTCCTGGTAAGATCTCGATCTTTATGTTCTTCAAATCGAGCAGCAGTGTCAATGGATCGAGCATCTTGTCGATCATAACGCTCCACTCTTCTTTCGTAATCTCTGTGTTCAAATTCATTAAATCTGAGGTACAAGAACACACACACACACGCGCACAATTTTAAAGTGAGAAAATTGAAAATATTGTTCACAATATTTTGAAGGCTAATCATAAATGCATTCAGCAGGCAATTTTGGGAATGAATTCAAAGGTTAAAATCTTCCCAGAGTACAAGACATCATTTGGATAAGTTTCTTTTTCGATAGGTTAAGAGAAAGCAACAAAAGACTTGTAAGGAACTTAGAGCAGCACATTGCAATTTATCAATAAAGCATCCAGGAGAAAGAAAAGATTTTAAGCCAGCATAAGGGACTCTGTTTTGAGGGGTGAGTCTAGTCCTGTTAAAATCTTTGATACTCACAAAATAAAAATGCTGACCTCAAAATTTGCAAAAATCTGTGTTCAACTTATTAGAAACATTTTGCACAACCATTTTAAATTAAGAGTTGCAGAGGGAAGGGTTACAAGATTTAAATTTGGGAGTTGTTGGTGCTCGGAATTACAAGATTTAAAAAAAAAAAAAAAAAAAGAAAAAAGAAAAAAAAAAAAAAAAAGAAAAGAGATTTTAACCACTTACAGAGATTCATTGGAGAATGAATGATCAAATCTGGTAGAAGGGGCATTCAAATTGGGTCTTTTTGGTTCATTCCAAAAGCCTTCTTCATGCCCACTGCTTCTTTCGTAGGATCTCTTCATTGCACGTCTCTGTTCTTCAAATCTGAAAACAAATACAATTGTATATTTTCTGGAGAAAAACCAGAATGCACAGGGTTTTTTTGGGATCAAAAAACAAAAGGATGGTTAAAAGAGAATGCCCAAGAAATGATTCCATCACTGACATTGGTTAAGGCACAATAAAAGCATTTTTAATGATAACCACATTGTTGTTTCTTTTAGTTAAGATCATTTACATTACAAATTTGAATGAGGTTTTATTTGTACCAAACAAATTGTTGGCCATTATATGACTAAAATCATGATTAGGTGTAAGCTTATATGATAAGTTCATTATCAAAATTTATTCCTTCTTTGTCAAAATTCCCTCAAGTTTGTTCTTCTGGTGTTTAGAACAGAAAATTATCTGGACCCTGCTTATTGTTACCAGGGACTTGTGATAGAATTTACCCTTTTTATGTTTAAATATCATTTACAAAATCAAAAATAGGAAATTTGATTTATATATGAGAGAACAACTGAAGAACAATAACCAGCGTTTAACAACCTGAAAAAGAGAAAGTTAGAGACAAAAATTGAAATGATGATCAGTAAAAACTTGATGAGTCATGGATTTAGGAACACCAATGTGACAATCATAAAGCACTCACTGAAGCATTTCTGCTCGCCGTTGTTCATCGCGGAATCTCTCACGCTCAAGGAATTCACGTTCTAATTTGATTCTTTCTCTTTCCAATTTCTCTCTTTCGAGTTTCTCCCTCTCCATTCTAAGAGAAAAAAAAAAAAAAAAAGTAAGAGAAAAAAAAATTAAAAAGTAAAAAAAAAAAAAAAAAAAAAAGAAAGATTTTTTCCTAACATATGGCTGTCCTGAAGGGAGTTTGTAAAAAACATGACAAGGAATAATTAGTCTCATTTTCTGAATTTCTTAATTACTACAGACTGTAGCATAGAAATCAAAATGGCAACTCACCTAAGCCTTTCCCTGAATCTTTCTAATCGGAAAGCCTCCTCTTTTTGTCTTCTTTGAACATCTCTTTGGATCAATCGTGCACGATCCAGCTCTCTAAGGCGTCGTCTCTCTTCTTCACGCAATCGCCTCTCACTTTGGCGCAAACGTTCCCTCTCACGCTCAGCCTGATAAAAGAAAACATTTTTTCAGTAAAGATGAAGAAATATTTAAGTGTATAGTTTTATCATTGATTTTATAAAATGTTACCTGACGTGAAGATGGAAGAGAGTAAGTATATAAAAATACAGAGGTGTGAACATTTATAAGTAAATGTGATTAATTGTCAAACAATTTTAGCTAGTTTTGTTTTGTTTTATTTTAGCATGTTAAAGATTTACTGATCTTTCAGGAAATTGCATTGAAAGAAAAAATCTTAATGACACAAATTAGTTTCTTGGTTTCAGTAAAAGCAAGACTATTTTTTTCTACATCCATCGCTCAAATCCAACAACAGGTATTCAGTTAATGTCATTAAAATGAATGGAGAATATGTCAATAAGGAATTTATTTCTGGTTATTTGGATTTCAACATACTGAAAAATATATAAATATTTAATTTTCTCAAGAACAATACTGAAGAAAACTATTTTCATTTTTTTTTTTTTTTTAAAGAAATTTCCTTAGTAATATCTGAAGAACAGTTTAATTTCATTAGGAGTGTTAAACTTTATCAACTGAAAAAGGTTGAAAATAATAAAATAATATAAATGATCAAAAAAAGGAAAAGTCATAAATAATGCCAACAAAGTGCATAAGTTCTTGTTTTTTGCCCCCTCCCCCAATTAAAACTATTGTACTGCATTCCCTACTGTGCTTTTTAAAAAAGAAAAAACTATTAAAAAGAAATATTTTTTTTTTTTAAAAACTTTGGATCAGTTTAAAAACATTATTTCTAACTTAGGATTGGCAAAAAACTTGAATGTGGTGTTTTACTTGGTGTAGTTGGAGAGAGGATGGGGTAGGGTAGGAAGGAAATATAAAGAAATTTTAAAAAATTTGCAAAATTCCAGTTATTTGCTAAAACATTTGAAAGGAGGATATGTAGATCACCATACCACGCACACACACAAAAAAAAAAAAAAAAAAAAAAAAAAAAAAAAGAAAAAGAAAAAAAAAAAAAAAAACTCCCAGGAAAGGAGGTTTATAAGCAGTAAGGAGAGAAAAAAATTTTTTTTTTGGTTTGGGAATGATACAAACAATGAAACAAAACCATTGGTTAAAGGAAGGGACCATGCCAATAAATTAGTGAGTAGAACATCAATTTGAGACTACTGTCACTACACAGGCATGCAGCACACAAAGAGCTTGGGTCAATTTTTTGCTTTAAAGTTCAAATGCTTTGCTAATTAATAAGAATGGTTCTTGCTTATGTTAGCAGAAATCAGGTTGTTGTATGGCTGGACTCATGCTTGGCTAAAGTTTCCTCCAAGTCCCCATTACAATTTTAGTGGAAGGGGAGGGAGAGAAGAAAAATAAAGAAAGAAAAACTGTCATCAAATGAAATATGAAAAAAAAAAAAAAAAAAAAAAAAAAAAAATAAAATAAAAAAAAAAAAAAAAAAAAAAAAAAAAAAAAAAAAAAAAAATGAAAAAAAAAAAAAATGAAAAAAAAATGAAAAAAAAAAAATGAAGAAAAAAAAATGAAGAAAAAAAAATGAAAAAAAAAATGAAGAAAAAAAAAAAGAAAAAAAAAAAAAAGAAAAAAAAAAAAAATTTGCAAACTGTGACTAGGATTTCTGAGAAGATTAAATAATTGTGTATACCTTGAAGTATTCATATAGTTGTTTCTTAACTTTTGAAGGTCGAGATATCTTCAAAGAAAAGATCAAAACATTTTGATAATCCAATGATATATTCGATAAAGAGAAACCAAGGTATATCTTTATGAACACTCATACACACATACACAAATGTAAATTTATAACCCATTTCTTTTGTATTTGGTTCAGTTTGAATTACAAGGCCCAATTAAATTTTATGCAATATTTTCATTTTCAAGAGGCCAAGTTTTCTTATGGTTGAGAAGTGATTACTGACCAGCTCTAGAAAGCAAAATGAATGTGTAGATTGAAATTTCAATGAACGATTTATCATTGATTAAAAGCAAGAAAATTTGAAACTTGCTATATTCATGTGCTGCAGGACTATGTAGCTGAGTATTAAAATTGTTAAAATGGGAAGAAAAGTTCACTACCCAGCCCATTATAGCAGAAGATAAAACCATTTGGTAATATGACTATAAGAAAGATTAAAACTGATTGTTTAGATTATTTACACTTACTTTATTGTTCTCACGTTTGTTGTTGTCATAGCATTTTGGCCATTGTGTCCTCTGGCTTTTATCAAGTGCTTGCCAATCCAACCAATGAGATTGGTCTAGGGATATACTCAGCTTTTTAAAAAAAAATTTTTTTTTATTTAGTACTGCTTAGTTATTTGCTTGCCCCGTGTTTACCCAGCCAGGGGTTAATCTCAACATTACTATGTCATTAAATTCATGAACAAATCCACTATAAGCAGTAGAACAATATACTGCTGCAGATTATATAAAGGGGTTCAGATCAAAATTCCCTGGAGGTTACTCAGATCAACAAGCACCTGGTGATGGTTGGAGGACATGTCAGCCAAAATGTGATGATAACAACAAAGATGAGGACAATAGTCAGTGAAAATCATGTAAATGATAACTCCTCACAACAGAAATTGACACAAATGAAAACTGATTTATTGAAACCAATCTGCACAGATTACATTGATGAAAAAATCTGAAAGATGTCAAATTGAACTAATTTAGAATTAGATTAAGGTCACCGAGTTAAAATGCCCCAAAAATCACCCCAAAAACCTTGCATTCATCACAGCTGTTCATTTCAAAGAAAAAAATATTTAAACTCAAGTAACTTTCATTGCTGAAAATACAAGCTCAAAAGATATTTAAAATAGTTTAGAAAAATTGAATAGAAAAGGAATAAGAGAAAATAGATTGAAGTTGTAAAGAACACACAAAGAATGCAGCAGTAAATAGAAAAGCTGATTAGAGAAATGATTTTCAGTTAGGCTTTGGAGTGGAATGGATTGGTGACAGATAAATGACCACCACCTGGAACTGAGTGGATAAATTGGTTGGGACAGGTTTTAGAAATACTAAGAATTAAGCATTATTCTGAAATAATAGAATAGAGGAATTTTAATAACTGTGAGAGGATTTGAAGATGTAAGGACAAGTAAAAAAGAAGAACATGATAAAGCAGGTATTGGTCAGGTTGGGTGGTGTAGCTTTCTGTAAAGAGTATAACATTTTTTCATATTAATGGAATGACACTGCTTAAGTGGTGGCTAATCCTAGTTTAAAAAAAAAAAAAAAAAATCAAAAATCAAGCACTCAGGACAATTGGAATTTTTTTTTTTAAAATTCTCGTTAACAATTAAAATCATTAAAATAAATTACTTGACTAAATGCTTTATAGCAATGGAGATAGTAATTTCCTATCTGAATACTTTTTTTTTTTTTTTTTCAAGGAGGAAAAAAAATAAAAATGTTAAAATTCAAGGAATTAAAAATATTCAAAAGTGAATTTTTTTTTAAAAGAAAATTCTCTTGGAAGATATGACCAAGCTCAATTTTCTATTTGCTGTTGTCATATTTCAGCCAATTCATTCTACAGCCTTCTTCAAGTAGACTATAAGGAAAGATTGATTAATTCATTTTTTATGATTTATTAACCCTTTCTGGGTTATTTAAAACTGAAACATATTTTGGATTATAAGAATACTTTTTTTCCTTTTCTTTCTTTTTTTGAGTGACTATTGTATTAATAATTTTTTTGAGAGCAATGATTTTTTTTCAAATACAAGTTCTATTTGTACCCATAGCTGGAAGGAGATTATAAGGAAAGAGAAAGGTCTCTAAGAAATGAAGTGGTGAATGAAAAGCAACACAACTGACTGAACTCTAGAAGAAAGACATTGACATTTCAGTATAAAATTAAGTATCATTTGTAAGCAAACCATGAAGTTGAAAGTGAACTTAATCCCATAAAGAAATGGAAGCTGTATTCTTTTCAATTCCAAAATGTTGCATAAAAATGTGAATACGTACTCGAATCTGATCAAAAGACAGAATATCCTTCTTGGATTCTTTGGTTTTATCTTTGCCACTCTCTGTAGATTCTTTGGGTTTGGATTTTGACACAGTAGAAACTTTCTCTTTACTGGTGGACGTTTTGTTCTTGTCCCCACTTTCTTTACTTCCTCTCTTCACACTGATGACAGGCTCACCTTTGCTTTTGTCCATCACAACCACACGTGATTTATCTGAAATACAATACATTTTACAGGACATTAAATAGACCAAGAGGTTTCCAGGATGATTCTTGCAAGAAATAATATCGATCATAATTAAAATATATGAAGATAAGTTTAAACAGTTTATTGTTAGCATCACCTCACATTCCCAAACATAAAAGCCTCAAGTTATAATTACATTTTTTTAAGAAAATAAAAACAATAAAAATAAGGCATGTTGTTTGTGCGCACAAAAATTTGATGAAAAGTTTAAAACACTTAAAGACTATCATCTCAAAATCGAACTACCCTAAAAATTGACTCACCAGTAATTTTTCGGTGACCACTTGTACTTGAATGCCGTTTGTTGTCTCTTTTGCATATAGATTTTCTGTCCTTGTCATCTTTCTTTGTTTCTTTCTTCTCTTCTTTTTTTGCAACTTCTTTTTTCTCACCTTCTTTCTTCTCAGTATCTTTTTTTTCACTCTCTTTCTTATTACCTTCTTTCTTTTCTGCAAAGGCATATTTAGAAATTTGAGGTGTAAATAAAAGAAAAACACGTGAATAGGAATAATTTTATTTTTTTTTTTTTAAAAATCCAGTTAAATATTATTTTCAGGTCAAATATTCAAAGCAACCTAATGGGCTAAAACTTACCTTCTTTTTTCACCTCTGGTTTTTCAGATTTTTTTTCACCAGGTTTGGTTTCTGGTTTTTTAATAGTTTGTGTTCCTGGTTCATTTTTAGCCTAGAAAGAGAACAATATAAATGTTCTTATTAATACCTCAATAACTCAAACTGATCAATTTCTATAACTTCATTTTCTTAATTGTATTTTTTGTGGGGAAGCCAAACTTTCTTTTTGTTGAAACATGAACAATGAGAGATATTCTACAAGATTCTTTATAAGCATCACTTCAGTAAACTCTGCTTATAGTCATTTCTTTCAAACAATTTTGCTGTGCAAATTTTTCATGCTTGCTACTAATTTTCAAAAGCATTCCATAAAGTTAATGGTTAATGGTCAGGTCCATATATTCTCAGCACAGTATAGAAACACTTGTAGGTAAGTCATGAAACATAATTGAAGATATTGTGAGCCAACACCTCATTTGGGACTTGTTAAAAAGTTCTAAAATATAGAATGAAAATAGAACTTCATGCCATAGATATATTAAAAGAGAGGAAGAAGAGAAAGGAAATTTATTATAAGTTAAAAAGAAATTACAAAGAGGAAAGAAAAGATTAAGTTTTATAGCAATTAAAGAGGAAAAAAAATTTTTTTTACCCTTTCAACTGATATCATTCTGCCATGGAGTTCTGTCTGATTCAAATGTTGAATGCATTTGGAGGCTTCCTCTGAAGAGGACATAGTAAGAAAGCCATAACATCGAGCTCCTGGACTACGAGCATTTGTCACTACTTTGGCACCAACAACCTGAGAGAAAGAAAGGAAACAGTTATGAGGATATATTTTAAATTCAAGCTTCTTCAAACCCATGTTAATTGGGATTTACCAAAAAACATAATATTGTTGAAAATCCTGCCTCAAAGAATTTAAATTTGGAAAGATCCTTCATATTGTATAGTTAACTTCCTCTAAGCTGAATGAGTAAGTTGCAGGATTAACTAAGCATTTCTTAGTCAAAAGGTTGGGAAATTCTATTGAGAGAATTATTTGACCATTATTTTAACAACTCAGTGAAAAAAAAAAAGATATGAAATGCTAACATTAAAATATTTTATCACTGACTGAAGCTTTTATACTTTAAAGTTTTTAGTGCTAGTCATAATTATCAAACATACCTTTCCATATTTAGAAAAAAGTCCTTTCAAATCTGTGGCTCGAGTATTAGAAGACAAACCACTGATCCACAAATTCCGGCTATTTTGGCTACCACCTGAAAGAAAGTAAAAAAACTTCAGAATATGTCAACACAAAGTCTACTTAATATAAAGTAAATAACATTTTTTTTATAATATAAGGTGTGCCAGATTGTCAATTTAGCAAGACAAGATTGACAGTTTCTGATAAATAGCAAATATCTTATTAAGTAAAAATTCTGTTCCAGAGTTGGGTTGGAATAAAATAAGTGCTGTTTATAGAAATGGCATCATAGGTGAGTACTGTTCATAAATGGGCTGCTAGGTTTAGTAGAAGTTTGTAAACATTCTGGCAGGTCAGCAGTCACTGATGATGACAATACTGAAATAATCCAGGTCACACATGGTACAACACAGAGATACTCTATGTAACTGAGTGTTTTAAGTCTTTTGAAAACACTGAAATCACTATGATGGTTGAGCACCTCATGATTTTCTGGAAACAAAAATTTAATGGATGACACTTCCATTCTCTGCTCAAATACAACAAAAATCACCCATTTTTTGAAAAGAATGACCACAAGTGGTAAAAATGGATTGTTTACACTAATGTATAGTGAAAAAGGTCCTGGGGAATGCTGTGTATCAGGTAGGATTAGAAGGGCATTGGGTATTAAAGAGCACCTTCCAGAAAATCCGATGATGAATTCAGACAAGTACTGTTCCCAACTGAGTCAATTAAAAAGTAGCAATCTATGATAGGAGGGTGGGCTGAAAAGTTCATAGGCATGCAGGAGTGATGCTAGAACTGTGAAATCTTACATGCATTAATTTCAACTCTTCTTATTAATAACTGCATTGTTTATTTCCAGCTAAACTAATATCTGACTGTTAAAGGACTTCAAATGTAATTGGTAGTAACTTTTCTTGAAAATGGACAAAATTTAGCATTGTGGTGTTATCAAGTACCTGCAGAAAAAAAGGGTTTAACCCTTAAGGATATTCATGCTTACATAGTTGTTACATTAGGGGATGATGCTCCAGTTTTATCAGCAGTGCAAAAGTGGGCTGCTGAATTTAAGAGGGAAAGAAGAGACAAAGATGATCCATGGTTTGGACGTTCCTCGACTGCCACCAATGAGGAAAATATTGATCATATTCACCATATAGTGATGGATAGCAGGCAATTGACTATAAATCAAATGGTCAATGTCATTAGCATATCCTGTGAGAGAGTAGAGAATATTCTGTACAATGAAATTAGCATAACAAAGGCTTCTGCTTGGTGGATGCCACATCTGACACCTGATCAAAAGTGCAAAGGCTGATCACATTACAGGAAATTCCGACATTGTTTGAGGCAGATCCAGAAGGTTTCCTAACCAAAGACGGGTTGGGTTCATTACTTTGAGCCAGAGACAATCCATACAGTGGAAACACCCCTCCTCACCTGCTGCAAAAAAGGCCAAGGTCATTTTATCTGCAGGGAAGGTGATGGCCTGAGTTTTGGGGATGCAAAAATCATTGTTTATTACACAATGACTTTTGCATCCCAAAAAACTAAGACTCTTCAAAAACACCACATCATCAATGGAGAGTACTATGCCAACTTGCTGAGAGAATTACCAAAGGCTATCAATTTCAAATACCGAAGAAAACTGACAAAAGTGGTCTTGTTTCATCAGGACAATGCTCCAATACACAAGTCCTTGGTTTCAATGGCTCCTGTGCATGACTGTGGTTTTGAACTGGTTGATCAGCTGCCTCTTCTGGTTTGGCCCCATCTGACTATCATCTGTTCTCCAACATGGAAAAACACTTGTCTGGAACCAGTATCACAGTGATGATGACGGAATCTCTGCTGTTGATGACATTTTTGACCAAAAGGATGAAAGCTTCTTCATCAATGGGATTCCAACACCAATGGAAGAAGTTTGTTAACTGCAAAGGGTTTACCTCCTTTGGTCACATTTCATGAGAGTATTTTTCAGCAGTCCCTTGTACTAGCCTCACTTTTGGATTTTCATCACAACAAAACTTTTTTTAGCAGAACTTCAGTTCTCTGGAAGCCTGTAAAAACCACTTAAGATTAGTTCATCATTTAGAATGATAAGTTTTGGGAGGATGGAATTGTGAAGCTGCCTCAAAGGCAGCAAAAGATAATAGGACAAAATGGCACATATATGGTTGAATATATCTATCTACAAATATCTAAATACTGATTTTGAAATTCAATTTTAAAACACAATGAACTTTTGTTCTGACCCAATAAAAGCACAACTTAAATTACCACCAGTTGTATTTTTTGAAAGATCCCGTTAGAGATTCTACAGAAACTAAAAGTTGATTAAATGATGAGGCTGTTGTAGAGATGATGTCTTTTAATAATTATCAATTGCTGACAGATTCTTCAAATGCAGCTTAACCCAATGTAAAATGCTACATAAATAATTTGAAAGTGAGCCAATTGAAATGACAATTTCGGACCAAGACCAACATTGACAGACACCAAGAGATTATACCTTGTCTGATACAGATTTCCATTAACCATTTTTATTAGTGAAGAAGAAAAACCCTTAAATTTTTCATTTTCTGAAAAGTGTACATGAAAGTGAGGTGATAAACATTAAACAAATAAATGTATTTTGAAGTATAAAATTGTTAATAAACCTTGATTGTTAGTTTCAAAGAGACAGCATAAAATAAAATCTTCAATTAACTCACTCTCTTTTTTTACTTCTGTTTTATCCGATTTCTTTTCACCAGGTTTGGTTTCTGTTTTTTTAACAGTTTGTGTCCCTGGTTCATTTTTGGCCTAGAAAGATAAGAGAATATTACCATGAAGATTAATAAAATTGTTGTTTATTCATTAAATGAGATTATATATATATATATATATATAATAAACAGGGTGGAGGAAGAAGAGCAAGTATAATAAAATAAATCACTGGAAAGAGGTGAATGAATCAAAACACAAAACAATGACAACAATAAATAAGAAAATAACAAAAACAAAGCCCATCAGTTTTCAATCTTCGAATTGAGCACAAATGTGCAAATTGTGTGAACAATGTTTAAAAATCCAATAAAATAACAATAACCAGGGAATCTGCAAAAGTATAAAAAAAAAAAAAAAAAAAAATTCCAATTACATTAAGACCCAGCAGCCATTCCATCTGCCTAAACCTAATGTATATTGTCTATAATATTTACAAGTGGTAATTGGAGTGTGCTCTACTGATTATGATAAAGGAATCTGTGGTGAATGACATAACACACAACAGATTAAGTGTTCACCAATGGCTGTACCTGGAGTATTAACTAGTTTAAGCAAATTATTGCATCTCCCATGATGAATCTTGGATGACATGTGCTGATCTATTCTAGTCTCTAACCTTTGATTAGTTCTAGTTATTATATTCAGTTTCACACTAACATTTATAATTGCAAACAACTGAGCTCAATTGGTGTGGGGAGAGAGAGAGTAACTGGATTAGGATTATAGCAATTAAAGAGAATTTTATTTTACCTTTTCTACTGATATCATCTTGCCATGGAATTCTGTTTGATTCAAATGTTGAATGCATTTGGTGGCTTCCTCTGAAGAGGACATAGTAATAAAACCATAACATCCTGCTCCTGGGCTACGAGTATTTGTCACTAATTTAGCGCCAATAACCTAGAAAAACAAAAGAAAATGTAATTTTTTAGTTGACTTATAAAAAGCTTCAATATTAAACAAATAAAAATTGAAAATCATTTGTACATATTGACAAGATAATCTTGAATGGAACCAAATGGATTCTCACTTAACAAGGAGAGAGAAAATGAAGAAGGAGAGACATGGGGAAAAGAAAAAACAATAACAAATGTAAAGGTATCGAATCTAAAAAGTTTTAAAAACCATAAGTAGGATTAAATGTTGGAAATAAACCATTAAAATAAAACTGCTGGAACCACTGGTAATAATGAATTTATCTTGTGCTGCAAAAGGGTGCATATCAGACCAAGTGAATATATACAGAATAAAGCAGTCACATACCAAGCTAATTGAATAATACAAGAGCAAGTATGGTTCATGTCTTTTCTACTATTGATATCAGATACTAGGAAAATGTGTGCTTGTGTCTGTGGGGGCAATTTTCTTTTGAACATTTTCATTTTCTGCAGGAAAATTTTTTTTTTATTGTTTTAGAAGGTCAGGTCCTGTTCATAATATAATTTAAGTCAAATTGATTTCAAACTTCTTAAAAGAGTATTCTATATTTTGTTTTATCTACAAATGTCAAGTTTGAAACTGGGCTCCTGTCTTTGATAACTGCATACTATTGATGCCCTACTTCCCAATTTGTAAAAGTCTTAGCTTTTTTTATGTTGAGAAATTTGGTAAGAAAGACCTTAATATGTAAAAGGGTACATTTTGAGTTGTATTTATTAAATGAGATTTAAAATAAGATAGTGGTATGGGATTTAGATCAATTTCCTATTATAAATGATTGTTTTGAAGAGTGAAAATAGGACATGTAATTAACAATACCTTGCCATGTTTTGAAAAAAGTCCTTTCAGGTCTGTAGCATGAGTATTAGAGAACAGACCACTGATCCATAAATTCCGGCTATTTTGACTACCACCTGAAAGACATTTAAATACAAAATAAAAAATAGTTCAGTATATGGAGATATAACAATAGCAAAACAGAAACTTTCTGCTTTTCAAATAAGTTTGCTCATTCATATAATTAATGTTTATAGTAAATGGTAATTGCATAAATTTGTGGTTTACATATACATGAAAAATATTCAATACTATAAAATATTTTTAAGACTGAGAGTGGGAGAAGTGTTAAAATTTTGTAAGTTGGAAAAAATGAAACTTATTTGTTTTGATAAAATGCTATTCATTTACTTAAGCTCATCAAGTATGGTGATTTTATAAATGTAGCTTAGATATAGCACAAAGCCGAAAGTACAGGACACTACTCAGTCGTAATTGTTCTAACGAGACAAGGTTTCTAACCATTACACCATGTCAAAATGCCCAAAGCTCATCAATTACGTTAGGAGTTGTTTTCCTGTCCCTCAATGTCCTGTGAGTATCAGATTTTCCAAGCCCTCCTTCCTCATTATGTGCACCAGAAATTTTAACTGTCTCTTCCTGATGTTAAGTTTTCTTTTTGTTTCCATTTTCTCTGAAACCTTGTTATTGATCACATGTATTGGTCCATGGTATCCTCAGCATCTTTCTGCAGATCCACATTTCTGTTGCTTCAAGTCTTTTCTTCATCTTTGAGGAGATCATCCAGTATTCACTGTCATCTAGATATCATATAGCAGTTAAGTACTCTTTTCTTTGCTTTTAATGAAGTTTTTTGGTCTCTTAATACTTTGCTTAGCTTTTAGAATGCATTTTGGCTGTCCTAATGTGTCTAGATTTCAGTGTTGCACTTTCCACCCTCTGTTAGAACACTTCCCAGATATTTAAGTTTTTGTACCGTTTGATTTTGGTATCTCCAATTTGTATTTTGAGCTGCCTCTTTTATTAACTGATGAACACAAATTGAACCATCTTCAAACTCCCTTTTAAAGTTCATTACCTGAAAGCTATTATAATATTGTCTTCAGCACTGTGTCAGTTATTGGAGAGAGAGAGAGAAAGAAAAAGTTACCCACCTTTGACATTTTTGGTAATCTTGAGCTTTGAAACGGATGAAGAACTGTAATTGTAACAAGAGTATTTAGAAATTGTACAAAATAATGTATGAGCACATACAAATTAGTGTTGATGAAATTAACTCATTTATAAGTAGAATCAATGGAACATTTATTAATTTTATTTCATATTATTTTACAATATTAAAAATTGGTATTCAATTATAAATTATGAATTAAAATAAAATATATTATTTCTTAGAAAAAAAGATTATACTTTAGAAAATGTAGGTCAAAAGAAGAAATAAAAACACTCACCTGTAAAAGGGAAAAAAGCCGCCCCCTACCCAACCAAGTAAAAACAATTAGACACCTAAAAAATTAGAAATTAAATTTTTTCCATTTCAGCTTCACTTGCCTAAGTTGTCATTTAAGATATGACATTTCTAGCTTATACCTAAGATTAGCATTTGTTGTTCTAAAGTCATGCATCATAGACATTTGAAAGATTTTATCATCACCAAAAAGACTCATGAGGATAAAAAGAGGCCAGCAGCAGAAGATAAGGATCCATACAATGACTACAGGAAGGCACAGTTCTTTCCAAGTGTCAGAACATATCTGGTTTGGCTTATAAAAAAATATTTGATAAATACAGCAGTTTTCTTCTTTTTTCTTCTTCTTCTTGGTAGAATCACTTTTGTCAATCCTTTCACAGATGAATGTCAAATTATTTTTTCTTTTCATTCTTCAACAGTTCACACATGAAGGCAAAAGGTGTCATCTTGCAAATTTCAAAGTCCAAAGGTTAAAAACCAGAGAGAGAGAAAGAGTCCAATTGAAATGAAGATCTATATTATTCATTGTCCATGTTGAATGTCCAAAACCAGAGTTCCATGTCTAGTCATCTGCTGACCTCTTTACATTTCATGAGTTTTAAATCAATAGAAAGTAAAAATTGCAAATAGCATCAATCAGCTTTTCTAAAGATCACACTAACTGATGAGTGCAATTAACTGTTTTGCATTTTTCAAGCCTACAAGCCACCAAGTTACAAACACTACAATCATGTCATACAACCCTTAGAGTTTATCAATATAGGTTGTAGAAAGGTTATCTTAAACATTAAGGTCGACTAGAAGATTTGCAGCTAATGGCAGAGAAATACTTAAGTATAACTTAATCGCACACGCAAGGACATAGTAAATTAATTTAGAAATAAATAGCTAAATGACATTAAAAAAAAACACAAACTAAAAAGAAACGTTCAGGACATCTAAGACTATGATTAGCGATAAATTTTTACAATCGAGTCTAGCTAACGGTAAAGGAATTCCTTTTGCTGAGTTGTGCTTTTTCAGGAAAATCTGCTAGCGAGAAGCAAGAACATGAAACAAAGGACATCTTTTGAGTCAAAGCAGTGGGAAAGATGACATGAAAACCAACCTCTTCAACTTCCCATCTTTATCATCTTTCTTTTCATCTGCTTTCTTCTCAGTCTTCACTTCCAGGTTACCTTTATCTCCTCCTCCTCCTCCTATTCCTTCTCCACTGCTTTCACCTCCCACTTCTGGAGGGCTGCTGTTGTCGCCGCCGCTGCTGCCGCCGCCGCCGCTTCCAGGATCGGATTTCTTTCCTTCACTCTTACCAATTGCTTTCTCCTTTGCCGCTTGTCTTGATTTCAATCCGTTTGTTTGTGAGGTCAAGAGGTCGGCATCAAGATCATTCTGAGTATCATCAACATGTACAATCAGAGACTCATTTTCTTCACTCTGTTGAGCAGTTGAAGTGTCCATATTTATAGTATCTTTCAGAGTCAATGGTGCCACACAAGGCACACTTGTTGGTGTTGGGGGCAAAATGTCACAGACAGCATTCTGACTCTCCTCTTCTTTGACTTCATTCAAACTTGCTGCTGGAGTGTGATCCTGTGTACTGGCCGTTGTGGATTTGTCTGCATCATTCTGCTCATCTTCCTCCTTTGTGTTAGCGCCTGCTGCTGCTGATGATGATGATGACTGTGGTGGCAGTGCTACAGAAAGTTAATTCAGAATGAAACAGTTGACAGGAAATGAAAACTTACTAAACCTCATACCACAACAGTGTTGTGTTGGCAATTGAAAAAATAAATAATTAAATAAAAAAATAAATAAATTTGGGGGACCAACTTTAATATCTACTAAATAGTCAAGTCCTTACTTTGATCAAACCTGAATATCATTGAAATTCTATTAAAAGAGGAAATGAATAACTTGATATTTAGGTCAGTAAGATTAATACACTCTGTCTCATTTTTTATTTTGAATGAGAGAGAGCTCAATTCATGTTCTGACAAGAGAGTCTACACAATAGTAAAGTAGACTGCAGATGTCAATCACTAAGAAACACAAGTGATTCATAGATAGAAATTGATGTGGAGATAATTTGTATCATCAGAGACACTCACAGAATTTTATTCCAGATTTTTCTTTAAAATTAATGATACATCTGTGACAAAATAATGAGGTTTCATTTGGAATGAATATATATAAATCATATACATACACACATATAGACACACACATGCACACACAGTTCTTGGCTTATGTATTAGTGCCAAAGCCAAGTGAAAAGAGTTTTGCCAAGAGGCAAACAATTTGTTTTTGGAACTGAAACAGTATACAAGAAAAGTAAAACTGCATATAGGCCAAAATTATTTGGCATGAGCTACTTGTTATAAGATATAGATAACTATTGTCTTAAATTATAAGTTGTACTACATTTTATCTAACATGCTTAACCAAAAGTTTCTCTTTTCCCCAACTCTTGTCAATATTTTTTTTTTTTTATTTTGCTGTTGAATTTAAAAGAAAGTGTTGGAGGATCCCTAAAAATTGACAAAATCTAAAAATATTTACATTTATAACTAAAGTGAAATAGAACATACCTGTAGGATCAGCAGAGATGTCATTTGTTTCAACCTGCAATAAATATTATATCATTAGAAAAGAAAAAAGAAAAAAAAAAGAAAAAGAGATCAATATAATGTTTAAAAATAGAAAATGGTTGTAATTAAACATATAGAAAATTACAAAGTTCTGTTTATTGTATTTATTTTTTCTAGATCTGAATGAGGAAATTGGTTTTATTAATATTATTTTTTTTTTGCACTTGTGGTTTTGAGCATTAAATAGTAAAACAAAATCTACTGTTTGAAGTCAATGAACTGAAGTTGATTTATCCAAATAACAGCTTCAAGTTATGATGAAACAGAATTTATCTAAATTTTTGGATTTCTGGTCTTTCATACTAGAAATCCCTTCAATAGGAAATTTTCCTGCACTTTGTCATAACAATTTGAGAAATAAATAGGATTTTTCTATCTTTAAAATAGCAAGGACACACTTTTTTCAGTCCCTAAAAAGTTACAAAAATTACAATATCATCTTGAACAAACATTTTGCAAGCATTATACTATGTTATTTGCTTCAGGTAATCCTTTTTTTTTTTTTTTTTTTAACTAATAGCAAATTGTAAAATGAGAAAAGGAAAATCCCTTCAAAGCTCACCTATTTCTCTTAAAGGAAAATATGAGGGGAAAATGAAAGAATTTCAATAACCACTTTTATATTTTTATTTCAGTTCTGTACTTCTAACATCTGCACCTGAACTTTGAAATGTTTTATTTTTACTCTCCTACACTGACAGGAGTAGATAGGTTTGCCTATTGTCCAGTTCACACTCCTCTGGACTTTCAAACAGGAATAGAGGTTTACCCGATGCCTCATGTTTAGGATTGGGTTTCTGGTTCCTTCTAAATTCTACTCCAACTCTATACTACTTGTCCTTTCTTCTGCTAATACAAATCTACACAGTACCCTTCTATCTTGAGTGGCACTTGGGCCCTGTATTAGGTGAACATTAATGGAAAACATTCTGCTATAAAACTGCAAGCAGCAGTGATAATAGTAAGTTTAAGAAAAAAAAAAAATACCTTTGAAGAAGCATTATTTAAATTGGTATCATTAAGTGTTGCTTGTTTCTCAGGAGAAGGTTGCGTCTCTTTGGTGTTTTCGTGCTGCTCATCATTTTTTACTTCAACATTATCCACAGTAGATGCAACATTTGTAACTTTATTAGAGTTTTCAACTTGCAAATTGCTGTTCATATTAACAGAATCATTTTGTTGAACAGAATCATCAGTTGCCACTGGACTCTCTTCTTCATCTTCCTCCTCCTCATCTTCCTAAAAGACAAAAAAGAAAAAGGTGTTGATTTTTTTTAAAAAAGCTTATTGAACAGAAGGTAAATTCCTTACTATTATTTTTACTGCAACTTTCAGTAATCATACAATTGTCAGTAAACAGTGTGGATTGAAAATAAGGAATAAGCCTTTGATCCACACTATTTACCAAAGTGTAGAATGATAATCTAGAAGTTGTAAAAAAAAAGATAAAAGAAAAAAAAGAAAAGAAATTCTAATATAACAAAATGTCTTTTAAAAGCATAAAACCCTGACGGTGGGATCTTAAGTGGCTTAGATGAGATTTATTAGAAAATCGAAACTGCCAAAATACAGAAAAAAAAAAAAAAGAAGTCTTAATTAGAAATGTGCCTTTTGTAGAAATCTGTGTCAAAGTAATTTTAAGTACAATGAAAAGAAAAAAAAATTCCATCTTAGATGAGATTTGGTAAAACTGGACAAGAAAACAAATATGAACCCAACTTTCTTGTATAGGAATCCCTCGATCAGTGTGGCTAATGTGTACATTGGTAACTATAAAAAAAATAAATTTTCAATTACTATGGTTAAACTGAAGAATGTTTTAGCACACTAATTGAGTATGTATGCACTAATTGAAAACGCATTAATCAAAGGATGCCTGTATTAACAATAACGTATCTTTTGGCTACTGAGAGTAATCTTGCTAAAAGGTTTGTGCCTGCGTATGTTCACAAGTGGTAGGCATATGAAGATATACATTTATTTTGAAATATTCTTTGTTACATATCTTCAGGATGTGGGCAATTATGGTTGTTCACAACTTCCTGCATTTTGATTGCCTCTAACTTTTGATCCTTTACCTCCTTGTCCTGCCACCCATTCACACAAACTCTCAATAAAAGTAGGTTACTTGCTGTTTTTCTCTGCTCTTTTGCCCTTACTATATCCTGTGAGTGTTAAATTCTCTAGACCCTTGTCTCATTATGTGTGCCAGAGATTTCAATTGTCTCTTTCTGCTTAAAAGTTTCATTGTTGTTCCTGCCTTCCTTAAGACTTCCTAATAACATGTCCTGTTTATAGTACTCTTGGTATAACCACATGCCAGTCACTTCAAGTAAGTATCCCAAACTGCCCCTAGTTTACAGTGCGAAAACATAAAAATTGTTAAATTTTCTTTAATTTCAACTGTTGATATTTTGTTTATTTTCAAGGCTATTTTGATAAAATTAGTATGTAAAGAAAATTCAATCTTCACTTTATAAAGATACAATTCTTTCTCATATGTAATGATTAGGTTTTATTCTAGGTCTCTTTAACAGTGTTGTGTTTCTCCCATACACATCAAAATAGTCCTTGAAGTTGTCTTTCACAAAAAAATTGATTGAAAACTAATGGATAAAATACCATAGAAATTCAACACTTTAATCAGTTGGCTTTATATCTCTGCACCTATACAACTTGAGGCACATGTGACTCAGATGGCATACTTAAATTTTAAATAAGACTTGTTTCATTGATGGATATTACAGAGTTTAAATGTTTTTCTTATTTTCTTTAATGGTGCATTTTATAGCTGTATGAAGTACTTATTCACTGTATTTTGACCAAACTGTCATGCTCAAACCACTTTATCTTGACTGCTTTTATGCATTGAAAAAAAAAAAAAAAAAAAAAAAATTCATATTATAAAATAGAAAAATAACTATATAAACTGCATATATTCTTAGTTCTTAAAATTTCAGAAGAGTGCCAAGTTTGGAAAAAAAAAAAAAAAAAAAAAACTGGATACATTTTATAAAAAGATAAAAAAAAAAATATATACTCGATAAGATTAACTTTGGCACACAAGTCCATAAAAAAAGTGAAATATAGTTAGGTAATTTCCAAAATGTAATCAGTTTCCTTTTTTTTTTTTTTAATGATCATTTATTTACTAATTCTAGGGTTTACGTCCTAGTTTGTAGGTTAAAATTGCTTTTTTGTCCCCCCACCCCAGCCATTATCATAATGGTATTACTGAAGATAAGCATAACATCTTTTATAAGCAAGTATCTGTTACTTTTTGTTTTATGAATTAGTAATTTCCATGTCACCTATCCAGGTGAAAAAAAAAAAAAAAAATAATTACATTTAATCTTCTGTTCAGTGGATAATAAACTCTACACCTAGGGAAGTAGTTTTCTTTTAAAATGGAAGGATCAGGCCAAAGATCCTAAATTCCTTGTATGGTGATGAAATTAAAAACTGTTATAATAGACATTACAGATATAATTTTTTAATGGAACTTCATGTCCACTTCTAAAGGAAAAAGAAGTGCCAAGGCCAATGGGTTGCAGTAAACTATTACTCCAACTTTGACATGGACCAAGTCATTGATATTATACCTGTCCAGTAATCAAAATTTTAGTTTCAACCAAAGGTAGAAATTATTTTTTTTTATGGCCTCTGGTGGATGATATTACCTATTAGATGAGACTTTGATATAATATCACTTTCAAGAGATGATAGGACATTGAGTGTTCCAGGAATATTGGCTACAGCAGAAACGTAAAACAAATTCAGACTGCAAATCACCATTAGAAGAGGAAACATAGGAGGACCATTACAACTGCCCAGAAAGTATTTTTCATCAGTTCCAATAAATTTTATTAATTTCAGTGTTTTTAGTTTGAAGATAAATTAGTTTAAGTTTTACTATAAGCATTTGTTTAAAGACTTCAGCAATAGGGCAGGGTGATTTTGAAACTAATATTTTACTCAATTTGAAAGTTGGGATCCAAGATAAATAATGACATTTTTTTTTTTTTTTGCAAGCCGTTACCATTTTTTAAAGATTAAGTTTAGGCTTAAAATTGGAGCATGGAATTTCATTCCAGTGATCAGATTTAACACTGTCAAAAAAAATTCTGTACCCTTAGGAAAACAAATGTGCAAATGCCAGTTTGTAAAGTGTTTTTCAATTGCAGCATTTACTTCATTCTCAATAAATTAAAGAAAAGTAAATCAGAATAGAGAATAATATAAAAATGAAGGCAAAAAATGGACATTAAATACAATGTTTAATATCATGTACATTTAGGGTGTGGCCAGTGGTAATTCATTTTATATCAAAATTAAGTTTTATTTTTCAGTGAAAAACAAAACAAAAACAAAGAAAACTTTAATCAATAGTAGTAAAATAAATATATTTTGTTCATGGCTCTTGTCCCAGAACTTTCTTTCAATAGGTATTGTTTATGTTTTTGACATTATTTTATTACATTCAATACTGAAATCTTGACTACTGTTCATTTGTCAGTGTAAAATTAATTAGTTCTTTTGTATTTTTATACAATAGACTTAATTATTACAAAAAGAAAGTAAACATTTTGTTTAATATACATAATTTTGTATTTTCGAAGTGACTGGCATTTATCTAAAATGTTGTGTTCATTTATTTCTATGAAAGAAACTATATTTCTATTTTGGTAAGTAACACGGATTCTTTCTATCTTGGATAAAATGTTCCAGTTTTACATTTAAAGAAATAGCTGATACTCTTTTATACTTGGCCTTCTTTTAGGTCTGACCCAGGAAAATAACTACTTTCAGCATTAAAAATTATTTTCAAGAAAATGAATTTATTTTTTTAATTAACTCATAATATGCAATATGTATGCAGTTTGGAAAAGAAGAAAAAAAAAAATTGTAGTGTGGTCCTGTCTTTTCAAACCCAAATTTTACACCCAGCCTAAACCTAACTCAAAACCCTTTAATTTTAATATGCCCATTCAATCAAACTAACATTCATTAGGGTTAATGTTTGGTAGACACAATCCCTAAAACTTTATGATCTGCCTTGTCTCTTTAGATAAAATGGAACTATCGGCTTTATGAAAAGTTATCCAGTTCAACTATTTCCTTGAAAATACCTATCTCACATGGAAACATTTGATATTACCAAATTAATTGTAAAGGAAATAATCAGTAGTTGGAAGGTGGTGAAATCATTATTGCCTTTGTTAAGGGAATATTACATAGAGCAGAAGGTGGATAGACTGTTTCAAGACACCCGAACAAATTATTTGATATTTTTTCATGTTGCTGTAAACTGCCTGTCTTAGATGTGATGAATTTGCTATGAAATGCAATAAACAAAATTGCCAAACAAAGCACATAGTTTGCATCTGTTCTCCTTACAAGGTAATGTTAATCCTAGGCTTGTTTTTCTTTTTTTTAATTTAAATTAGTTCAGGTTCTGATTTCACAAAATTTAAATTAATTGAAAAATATAAATTTACCTTTCTCTGGTAAATAATATTGTAATATCTTCCTTCATCTTTATCATGTATCCTAGATCTGTTTCTAAATGTATACACATTTTGAAATTTCAGGTTCCCATTGAAGAATAATAATATTTAAAAGATCATGGTGAAAACAACCAAAAGACAGTTTTCAGTTTGGAACTATTGACAAAGATGCTGTCAAAAATATCAAAAAAGTGCAGCTGAAGCAGAGAGATTAGATGGGTAAATTAAAAGACAACAGGATCCTACACATTTTGCCTCTACAGATATTTTCCCACCAACATCTTCAAGTGGGGAAAAAAAAACAAACAACTGATGACAGATTTGAGCCAGAGAGAGTCTAAGGCACCTTATAGGTCTTTTAAAAGTTCCTTGATATGCCATGGAACTTATTAGGGGTGATGTATCTTCCAACCGTGTGATTTGCAACAATGAAAATTTAAAACATTTTGTTTTACGTGTGCCTTATTTATTTTTGTGTTTTTATTATAGCCTAACAAACAGTGCAAGATTTTATTCATTGAACAGCCTTTTTTTTTTCTTTTTTTAAATCTTTTACTATTTTTAGTTTTCACTTAATGAATATGGTAAAAAAACATTTTGCTTGTGGTGATTTATAAATAGAATTCTGGTTTGAATATATTTCCTCTTCAATGTATCTAATAAAAAATATCAACTTTATTTGGAATTATTCTTGAAGTAGTAAAATTTAAGTCAATTTGCAAACAAACATTGTGGAAATTAGTACTTCCATACATTTTTAAGACTATTTTTAAAACTAAATGCTCAAAAATTGGTGAATGCTATGAATTTATTTTTGGTGTCAGTACTTATCACATCAAACCACAGCTTTTTGCACAGAGTGCATACACACACAACCTGCCATATTGCCCATGAATTCATTTCCTAAAACAATTTTCTAATTTTTGTCGTTTTCTGCTAAGTTAAAAATTGCATAATTTCAAAATTTCCCAAAATTAAATGCATGCATGAGAAAAGGTATTGATATTACAGAGCAAAGAACCATTTTATTGAATTCTTCATCCCAAAAACTAGTAATGCTTCAAAGTCTCTGGCATGTACCTTCAATGGACACTTTTTTAATGGCAAGTTCAGGATGGTATACTTTTGAGCTGTCAAATTACACTTCTGACTGTTTTCAAATGATGTAAATATGAGTTGTTTTTTTTTTTTTTTTTTTTTTATTGATGTACTAATGAACAATTTTTTTAGCTTCATCTCTGTTGTGCTATGAATTATACCAAGAAGTTGGAGGGCATTAAATGTTGAAACGAAACTTATATGATCGGTCAAAATTGTTTGTGTCATATCTTACCCATTTTGTTTTTGAGAATGCAATTGTCCCCCAATGTTTAGTCTGGTTTGATCTAATAATTATTGATTGTATTAATATTACTTCTACTTTAAGACTGCTTATATGACATTACATTTATGATTTTTAACTAGTTTGAAGCCTAGGTCTTCAGTTATACACAATTGAAATTGGCTTCTGGTCCAATTTAGACCATAACTAATGCTAATTGAGCTCCTAAAATAATTTTGGTACCATTTTGTTTTGTCAATTTCTGTATGCCTGTATTAAAAATTTTTCAAACCCCAAAAGGAAATTGTTTAGCATTCACTGCCACTAGTAAATTAGATATTATTTATTTTTTCAGCATTTTTTTTCTTTGTTCCTAACAATATTTCTCTATCTCTTATTACTTTGCTTAGTTTCTGGAAGTAACCTTTTGCTATTCCTATGCACCTTTGAATTTCTGTGTCACATTTTCCATTGTCTGTTATTACACTAAGTTAAATTTCTCTATTTTGACATCCCCAATATGTAGCTCACACCTTGGGTGATCTCTTTTACCAACAAACATGCATTCTGTCTACTTACAATTAATAGTCTGTTCTTCTTGCTTTCCATCACTGTGTTGTCTAAGATTTCTTTCAGTTTCCGTTCTGATTTTGCCATCAACGCCATCACATCTACATATTTTATTATCTTTGTTGATAAGAACTAGCGGTAAGTGTTAGATCATTCACACTAAGTTTGCTGTAGGAGAAAATGCACCCTCACATTACTTTTCCTACATTTATGTTATCATTGAACTCATTCTCTATCTGCATGCAAGCTGTTTATTCCCAGCAAAAGTCATGGATTACATGAATATCTTTCCCATGTAAATCAAGCTTTTCTAGTAATTCAAGTCTGTTTTTGTGCTGCACTGTATCAAGTACTTTTGTGTAATCTATAATCTCTAATGTCTTTATGTATTCGCATTGTTTGCTATGATAGCATTCTGATTATAAAATTAACCTTTCTTGTTTCAGTGACTTGGTCAAAGTCACACCGTTTGTGCTCTATTTCCGGTTTGTTAAGAATTCTATCAGAATCTTAATTATGCGGCTCATTAAGCTGATTGCCTGATGGAGTTCACATTCATTTACACCTGTTTTTTTTGGTCTTGTTGTGAAGACAGATTTACTGTGGTTCTCTGGTATTTTGCTGCTGTTATACATTTCATTTATTATTTCAGTAATATTATCTATCACAAAATTGTCTAAGACTGGCAGTATCTCTATAACAATCCCATCCTTTCCTATTGCTTTGTTTTTTGTTAATCTTGGTCAGTGTCGATATTACCTCAGATTTGAATATATGCTCCTTTTATGAATAGACATGACACATAAAAGAAAAATAAACACACAAGAATTGAATTATCATCATCATCATCAGGGTGAGCACAAACGCAAACCATAATTATAAAGTTACAAATTGGACTGGCAATTGTTTTTTTCTTCAAGTTTGAGAATTTTAAAAGGAATTGCCCAAAAGAGAATCTGGTTATGATTTTGCTGTGTTATAGTAATGAACAAATACAATTAAAAGCAGAAATTTGATCATTATAGATAAAAAAAAAAAAAAAAAAAAACCTTTAATTTAAAACCCAAGAATTTATAAAAACAAGGAGAATCCTATTTTTCAATAACAACTTCACAAAAATAAATTCTTTTTTTCTTCTTCTGTGTACTACTCTTGTAGAAAGCTGAAAGATGTTAGCAGGTTATATTAAGCAGTTTTTTTTTTCCTCGCAAAAAACTGTTTAAAGTTTGGCTGAAGATCTTGTTTATTATTAATGAACAAGCATAGTAGCACCATGAGCAAATTCCTGGTAATTTGAGAAAGCAGAGTCAATGTATTTTGGATGAGTGTAAAAAGCTTTGTCAACATTGTAGACACCTAAGTAGAACTAAATATAACAATGTTTGAAAGTACATTAGCAGAATAAGGTAAGCAGATCAGAATGTGTGTGTGCGTTTTATTATTAAGTGTATAGCTATAGTTTGTATTTGTGAATAAATTTAAGTAGGTACCTCCACTATTTTGGTATAAATGTTGATACCCAAGATTAAAAAAAAAAAAAATTTTTTTTTACCAAGATCCTTTAAAACAAAAGATTTCAAAACTAATTTCATCCATTTGTGTAAAAGTCCTGAAAATTTCATTAAAATTAATTGATTTTTGCAAGAATTTCCAAATCTTTTTGACATGTTATTTGAGTAAAAGTGGAAGTACCTAAATTTAAGCATAAACAAGATTTTCATCATGTTATCTGTATAACATATTCAGGGAAAAACTTGAATAATAAGAAAACAACAAATCAAACATCTGCCAGAGGATGAGTAAGAAAGAAAATAGAGTAACTTTATTTTATGAAATTGATTTTAAAAAGATCTTACAAGTCTTAGATATAATCTTTTGAAAATGTCAAAAACAAAATATTTCATCGAGTAATAAGCTGGAGAGAGTGATGCTAAATAAATTTTACAAATAAGTGGAGACAGAAAAACAAATCCATACAAACCTCATCATCTTTCATTTCCTTTTCTGTTGCACTCTCTGTAAAAGAAAGTCATACATTATAGTTACAAAAAAATCTAAAAAGTAAAATTACAAGTAACAATTCTGATTATAAGTTAAACCTTGTTGGATTTCTTTATCTTAAGAGCAATATTTCATAAATATCAGATTCTGGAAATAGCTATGGTTATCTGATTTTGTTAAAAATTTCTTGGTTAAAATTCTAAATTTTATAAGAATTCAAAAATTTACAGAGAAAATGGATATGAGACTCAATTCTTGAGCTTGTATTATCTTCTGCTCCAAGGTTACAAAAAAGAGAAAATATGAGTTTTGATGAAGAAAACACTTACTCGAAAGACGACCTAAAGATTTCTTAGATTTAAGTTCACTTTCAGCAAACAAGTAGTCATCAGGAACTTTTCCTTCATTCTCAAGTGCCTAAAGAAAAAAAAAAAAGATATTTGGAGAAAATTATATTAAAAAAAAAAAAAATTATTTATTTGACACAATCTTTAATTTTTTAATAAAAGTAAAAAACAGTCCTGCCTAACAAACAATCATATGCATGCAAAAATAAAATCAATGGATTCATATGAAATCTACCAGCAGTGGACATAATAACACTTAAATTTGGTTATTTGGCTATGAACATGAACACCAGAAACTGTTTTTTCACAAATAAAATTGTTTTGAGAGAAAAAAAAAAAAATATCACAACATTCTGAAAATAGATAAGCAGCATGAAAAAAATCTGGATATTTCTGAAATTAATGAAGCAATATTTGCATAAGATTAAGTGCTTTCGATGATATTCAACATGTAGTTCAAAATAAAAGCTTATTACAAAAGAAAAAATATTAATGACATAATTGCACCTACATAAGTAGACTCAAGTAATCACTGACTACTTTTAATTCTAAAATCAGTTTACAAGAGAAGATAAATTTTGTCATAAATTAAATAAACATAATCCTATGGCCGATTTCCCTAGAATAATTAAAATAAATGGAATTGAGAAAAATTAACCCACTTTAATTTTTCACTGAAGAATCCCTCAAAGATCACAATGTCAATTTTAAAATTCTCAGTGGGAATGAAAACAGTAGGAGCACACACACACCCAAAAAGCCCACCATTTCAGATATCTCAGTGTGGAGTAATTGTTAGTGAAGTTAGTCTGGTTTACCATTACTACAGAGTAGTAAATTCAATCTTCACTAGGTACACTATATTTGTGGCCTTGTGCCAAAACTGAGCAAAGCTTTAAACAAAAAACAACAGCACTATATTGCACTGAATTGTGAAACTGATAGCTATGTAGTTACCTCAAAAGAAAAGTGATAGCTAAGGATTACAATGCATTTTTAAAAATAAAAAAAATTTCTCAAAGCTTTTATTTTAATTTTAAGCTATTTGGATTAAATTTAGTATTTTCAATAAGCAAAATACTTTACTATATTATAAACTGAATTTAAATTGATTGGAATTTTTTGTTTTTGAACTCATTAAGATTGCTAAAAATCAGCCATATTAGTGAATCTATCAATACAAGATTCTCTTTAAAAAAAAAAAAAAAAAATCTTTCAAAAATAAAATGCACTTTCCTGAAACTTTATAAGATTTAACCAATTTAAAGTTTAAGTAACCTGATTTGAAACAAATATTACTTACTTTTAGTTTAAAATATCTCAGAAAAGTATTTTTTTTTTAACATGGAAGTAGGTTTTTCCATAAGGTGTGGATAACAGTCTCAATAGCTGTTTCGGAATTTTTTTTTATAAGGGGGACGTAACTGTAAAAATTACTTGAATATAACATGAACACATTTCTATATAATTTTTTTTTAATTACCTAGTAATAAAAAAAAAAATGAAGAAAATATTAAGCAATCTAATATTTTATTGAATTTTAAGTACTTTGACTTTATAGTCAAACTTATGAAGATGCTTGTTGAAGAAATGTTAGAAAACTACCAGTAAATTTTAAATTTTTACAGCTCTTATTTTCTGATAATGTTGTACCTGTACATCTGGATTTACAAAAATCAGTACGTAAACATAAAATAAATACAAAATTCTTTTAAAAATATTGCGGGTATTTTAAATAGTAGTGAATTTTTCAATTTATGATTAATAAAGTTTTAAATTTAATGACTTAACTGCTATAAATTAATACAAACTTTTAAAAGTTTATAAATTATTCTAATTAAAATTTTAAAAAGATGAAGACAATTCTTGTAGAAATTCATTACTAATCGAATTTTTTTTTTTTTTTTTTTTTTTAAAAAGGCAAGTGTCCAAAATATATTTTATACATTAAAAAAAAAAAAAAAAACTTTTCTAATTAACTTCTCTAACTTTTATTGAATTTTTATTTTACAACCCAGGGCAGATTTTCTGTAACTGGGGGTCCTTTTTGAACCCCACCTCCGTCAAAATTTCATGATTTATTCTGAGGACTTGTCCTTTAAACATTAAGCAAGCGCTAAAAGAAATAATTTCTCGAAATTTCATATAAGTGCAGATTAATGAACGTAAAAAAATAATCTCTAAAAAATAAACATTATCCATTCATTTATGAATAAGTCCATGAAAGTTTCATTAAAATTCGGCAATTATTTAATTTTTGCAAGAATTTCCCATACTAGTTTTTTATGGTCATCCGCTGATGCAAGAAAAAACAAATTTCGAAATTTTCTATAAAAGATAAAATTTATAAAAAAAATCCTTTGATCTTTCCTCTTCATAATTTGTTTTTTTTTTTTTTTTTTTTTAACTGTTTTTAAGTTCCGGGTAATTTTTTTTTTCATTATTTTTTTTAATCGAATCTTTGGCGGTGCCTATGAGAAAGGAGAAAAAACGAGAAAGAAAGAATAATTCTGGTGCTCAATCCAAAATTGGTACTTTAAAAAAATGAATCTTTTTCAGTTTTCACACTGCAATACTCATTCAGTAAAATAAACTTTAAAAGACAATATTCTAACGTTCCTTATAAAAATTTTATCTTTTAGAAGTATGATTTTCTTGGAAAACTATTTCCTTTTTTAGTCAATTAAAGAAAAAAAAAAAAAAAAAAAAGTACGTTGTCTGCGGGTGATAAAAATTATACTTCTTTTAGTGCGATCATTTGCAGAAACTAGTGTGAGATGCACCAAAAGTTTTAAAGAAACCAAATTGTTTACGGTGGAGGTATGTGTGTGTGTGTGTGTCTTTTTTATTTACAAAAAAAATAAGGTATCCTTCGAACGAATATGGGAAACATGCCTTGCATTTTACTAGCCATCGATTAAATTAAATTTGATTGAAAAACGTCAATCGATATTGATTTTGGTAATGTGTATGTTAAAAAAGTAAATTTATCAACAAGAAAAAGTTGACTAAAAAAAAGTCCAATATAAAATTCATATTCATTTTTTTTTTTTTTTAAATATTTTTAAGAGAAAAATCTTTATTTCCAAACAATCGTAATAAAAGAAAATTAATCGTCCAGGACCAAATATTAGGAATATGTTCGATTAGGGAGGATAAAACAAATTGTATGATTGTTTAAGGCATCGATAATGAATGAAGTTTAATTAAAATAAATCTGAAAATTTTTAAAACTTGGTCATCTTTAAAAAGTAAAAAAAACAAACAAAAAAAAAACAGATCTTTAAAGTGGGTGTTCTTACAAATGAAGAATTCGGATTTTAGGAAAACAAATTTCAATACGAACAGTACTAGCTTATGTGGCAGATTAATAACAATCAAACAAATAAAACATCGAAGTAAAAAAACAATTGAAATTTTAATTAACAATTAAAGAAAAGAAAAAGAAAGCAATATTTCCTCCTTCTTCAAAAAACAAAATGGCTGAAATGGACGTGATTCTGCTTTTAAATCATTGTCTCCCCAAAATAATGATGAGGTTTTGTTTTTTTTTTGGATGAGGGGGTGGGAAATAAACACTGAATATTATTTTTAAGGAAAGGAAAGCTTAATCAAAGGCCCAATCCCCAATCAATTTCATCGATTATATACGATCGATTATTATGATTGGATATTTTGCATCAGAAAATGAATATGTACAGAAAAGAAATGATTTCCAATTAATTTAAACTTAAGATCTATGCGTAATAAATAAGAAAACATGAAAAAGATTTAGGATTTCATTCAAAAAATTGATTTAAAATATAATTCTTAGCTAATTGGTCAGATGTTTAACGACTTGTAATAGTAGTGTATGACCAAACCTACAACTTGCTGCCTTTTTAAAAAGGATTTGTTTCGATTTGTAAAATTAAATTGATAAACGTACCTTTTCCAAACGTTCCAGCAAGACAGCTTTTACTCCAGTTTTATCCAAACCTCTTTTTTCCAATTCCGAACGAAGCTCAACGACCTTCAATTCCGTCAGTTTTTTACCACCAACAGCATTTTCACTGGTGGCATTAGCCATGTCGCCTTCGTCGTCTCTCTTCCACTTTTACTAGTTCCAAGGTTTTCTTTTTTTTACCTTTCTTTCTTTAAATATGGGAATATTGTGATTAAATGTAATAAAACCCACTTAAAAGCTTTAACTAAACCTGATCTATTTTTTCTCGCTTCTTTGATAATAATAGACCTTTTCTTAGCAGTGCTTCTCTTTGTTAATATTAGCAATAATGAACCTGAATAACAGAGAAGCCAAATGCCCGGATGTTAAAAAAAAAAAAAAGAGAGAGAGAGAAAAGAAACTCAGTTCAGCCGTCAGGGGACGCTACTCATTAAATATGGCGCCAAAGTCTCATCATGTGACTTGTTTGCTTGATAGCAACACTGTTTCATATTGTTTAACCTTTCTGGCCAGTTGAAACAATTATTCATTTATCCTAAAATACGTTTTTATATATTGCATCTTAGCAAGAGTACTCCTTACATTTCCTAGTCTAATTTTATTATTGTAAAATATTATTATAATGGCCTTAGCAGCTGGTGACGGTCAACAACATCAACACGCCACAACTTTACCTTGTGGCGACGATGAAATAATAAAGTATGTATTTATTCAAGTTTGGAGGTGTCTTTTTAAGAATAACTTTTGGTCTTCAAACTGCTACTTAGAATTAAAAAAAAAAAAAAAAATCACTGATCATTTTATTTCGCTTTCACACATTCACAAGTAACCAGAAAGTTTTTTTTATTTTATTTTACGTCAGTCACTAAAAAAAACAATGTACAGTTTTTAATTTTCTTTATTATTCGTAAGCGACGTTTTTTGTACTCTTCTTAACTCTAGTAAGTTATTTGAAAAACAGAGTTGACCTAAAAAGCAAATGTGTAAAAGAAAAGTTTAAATTATAATTTCAAATACATTTTTCTTCTCAATGCATGAAATGCGTAAAAAGGATGTGTGTTACTTACTCTAACTAAAAAATGATAATCAAGATTCGATTATAATGATTATCTGTCATGATTGGTTTATTTCCAATTTCGATGGATATTCATATCGTCTTTAGAAAACATTCCACACTGACCTTTATTTGCTAAGACATTCCGACCGCTAGGGAATTTTAAGAAAGAAATTGTTAGACAATTTATAAATGCTTATGATATGGAACTTAAATGTTCTGTATTTGACCCTTTTCAAAGTCTCTATCTTGTACAATTACATTTATTACAAATTTACGAAATTTTGGGGCAGAGAAATAGGCGATGGTATGCTATTGAATGAATGCTGAAAATTTCAATGAAATCCGATAATTTCCACGATTTTTGATAAATTAATATGAATCAATAAAACATGTTTTCTGTAAAAATACAAATTAAATATTGTTACCAAAAATTATTGCCCTTGTTTTATTACAAATGGTTGTAAATATTCTTTCACCTTTTAAGTTAAAAAATATATATGAAATTGAAATCTAACGTTAAAAAAAGTTATAACTTTTTAAAGTTGATCAATTTTGTTTTCCATCGTTAGTCGAATAATTTACAAAGTTAGAAATCATTAGCAAACAATTTTCTAATAATTGAATCAAAGCAATCAATGAAAATTTGTTTTTTCTCATAAAATTAAAAATATTGTAATTAATAGTTATCATTGAGTGATAAATTTGAAAAAGAAAGTAAACAATAAAAATAAAGCAACTTTCAGATTATCTCATTTGACAGCAAACAAATTAATATTTTTTATTACGTGTTGATCATTTTTATTTTATTAGTGATAAACAAATTATCCTGCTTAATCTGAATTAAAAAAAAAATCTCTTTTATAAGAGTAAGACTAAGAAGAGATTCATCATACAATTATGAGGAAAACTATAAAATTTTCGAAGAAAATAGTTTGGAATTTGGATTGTAAAACTACCTATTCATTGTTGTTGTTCATAACAACAGTTCTGTTCAAGATTTCTTTTTGATACTTTTGGAAGTTCTTTCTACATTGACTGAGGCATTCATTTATTTGTAAAAATCAATTTTAAAGAAGTAAGTGTATGGATTATAAAGCAATTTAAAAAAATAAATCTTCCATATCACAGTTTCCTCAATTTGATCTTGTGAAATACTAAATTAAATATCAATTTTAGACTTATAAATAACAAATAATAAAAATAGCAATTATTACTTCATCAATCTACTCAGCTTATTACAGGTGGAGTATAATAAGGTTCAGTAAATTAGACTATTTTCCTCCTGCCACGTCCAGAAAATGTTTTATTGGATATTATAGTGAATTACATACACAGAGCCACCATGCACAGGAAGTGGATATTCTCTTGGTGTGAGCAGAAATAACTAAAAAGCTGAGCACACAGAAGGCAGCACACATCACTTCTGGTTGATACATACATACATACATACATACATATATATATATATATATATATATATATATATATATATATATATATATATATAGGCAGCAATCCTTCATTTATACATGTTTCATTGAAGGCGACGGACAAGATACTACAATTAAGCTTTTCATTTAATTTTTCTCTTGTTCGAACAAGTGTTTTCTTTTTTGTACGCAGAGTGTGTAGAAACTGTCCAAATGTTCTGTAATTCCAAGCGCTTTCAGCTATACTTTTAGCCATTATCAAGGATGATTTTATTTTTGCTTATTACTTGGGTGTGTGGAATCTTCCATATTAACCTTCCACCCATTTCAGAAAAATGTTTCCTTCTATAAAACAAAGCCTTAACCAATCAACATTTTGTTTCAGTAAAATTCAATCTTCCATTTGTTAAAGCTGTAGCAAAGTCACAACAGAACCTTTTCCTGCCTAAGGTACCTGGGGCCGAATTTTAAACACCCAACTCTATATAAACAAACACATGACTCAATTCAAGTCAGTCAGTCATCAAATTTCAAGAGATCCATACAAACTCCACGCTGTTCAATTTACTGACTCGCAACCATTTAAAGTTTCTCAACAAACTTAACATAGCATTCAAATAACCATTGTCCGTGTGGATATTCATCACCTACAATTGACTTAAAGAGTGAACATTTTCACAACGTCAAAGTAATTGTACATTCATCAATTTAGCCTATCAGTTAAAGGCAAACAACTCTTAGCAACTTTAATTCTGACTCATGAATACACACACACACACACACACACTAACAGTTGAACAATACATTTTAATATTTTACTATGCAGAAACAAAAATTATTTTAATTTTAATAACAAGCCAAAAGCATCAGGATTTACTTATCACAATTCTGCATGAACATTCTTCACAACATTATCTCAATTACCAAACCAACAAAAAATCTGTTTATCTTTGCATGTGTATTTATATTGTATATAAAAATCTCTTTATTATTGATCATGTTGTTCAGTCATTCTTTGCTATGCAATTGTCCTTATGTTCTTTGTGTAATCTATTTGTTGTGGGATAATCCAAATTGAAAACATGCATAACTTTCACCTCATAAAAATTTATCTTCTCATACATCTCATTCAGCATACGACCCACAACAGGTGTATGGTTGTGTGTATGTTTCTAGAGTTTAGGGATGTTTTATTTTCTGAACACAGCACATTGTGGGCATGTTCCTAGTTAATATTATTAAGTGTTGGCTTTTTTCTTTTTTATTATTAAGGCTTCTGCGTTCAGAAAATAAAACATCCCTATAACTCTAGACACATAGTCAGTTATGTGCCATATGTGATACACGCTTAGCCAATCATGTATCTTTTGATGTATGACAGATGAGGCAGATTTTTTTCCCACAGTAGGTTGAAACTAGAAGCATACACACAACCCATACACCCAATTAAAAAACAAAAAGTCATTCTTGACAATGGCTAAAAGTATGGCTGAAAGCACTCTGAATTACGGAATATTTGGACAGTTTCTACACACTCCGTGTCCAGAAAAGAAAACACTTGTTCAAACACAAGAAAAATTAAATGAAAAGCTTAATTGTAGTACCTTGTCTGTTGTCTGTCATCTTTAATGAACGTGTGTGTGTGTGTATATATATATATATATATATATATATATATATAAGCAAATATATGGATATAGATCCGACAGTATGAAGAAAAATATATACGGAAAAAACAAACAAAAATCCTTATATACAATTATGCTGTTTTAATGTCATTATGTCAACGTTGGACGTTTCGGTCGAATAAACCCTCTTCAGGACATATTCATAAATTATAACATTATCAATACAACATGACAAAGACAATGTACATAAGAACAAGACTTATCCAAACAAATAACTGAAAGTTTTATAAGATCAGCGATCTGTTTAAAACATGGTCACATTGTCGTCACGTGGGCAACGCTGTGAAAACATATTCCTAAAATTTGAGTATTTTGAATGAAAAATGAAAAGAATGTACGCTTGTCGAGCATTAATCTCGCTAGAAAAGGGGAAATACTAAAGAAGCCAGGTCTAGTATTCACCGTGCATAAGATGGATATTATGCCTGCTTCATAAATCTGCCTTAGATTTTTATAAAACTTTCAGTTATTTGTTTGGATAAGTCTTGTTCTTATGTACATCGTCTTTGTCATGTATTGATAATGTTATAATTTATGAATATGTCCTGAAGATGGTTTATTAGACCGAAACGTCCGCTGACATATTAACACTAAAACAGCATAATTGTATATAAGGATTTTTGTTTGTTTTTTCCGTATATATTTTTCTTCATATATACACATGAGGGCACGTGGCTGAGTGGTTGGAACATTTGCTATCTCACCATGGTTGATTTGACAGGAAAGTGACTTCTTGATGTTATTGGTCTGGAGGAGGCAATGTCAATCTCTGCAGCACCTTTGGAAAGTGCCTGTCAACCATACTACGGGTTGACCCAAACCTTGTGAGTGAAATTGTGTAGATGGAACCCTTTGGGAGCTGTTGATGGTTGTGCTTGCATGAAGTCACAAGTCATCATGACTGATGGTTTGAGCATGCTGGCCTCGTCCAGACCATTGATCATGTTAGATAAGAAGCTCTCTCCAAGAAACTAAATAGAATCTGCTCAGCATAGTTGTAGTATTAATCACGGGTAGGCTCTGTAAGTGTTGAACAAACACAAATGTACCTGAGGAGGAGTCTGCAACAGGGATTAACTAGCTGCCCTTGTAGACATCCTTGAATACGAGTGGCCATCCATCCAGCCACATATATATATATATATATATATATATATATATATATATATACACACACACTTTATATATATATATATATACCATTCTTGGATGTTTTAGTATATACTAATAATGATGGTTTTATATTTATTATCAGTATATATATCCATATATATATATATATATAAATATATGTATTTATTTTTAATATATATATATATATATATATATATATATATATATATATATATATATATATATATATATATATATATATATATATTTATTTTACTATATATATATATATAACTTGTATCTGTATATATATATATAACTTGTATCTGTATATATATATATATATATATGTATCTGTATATATATATATATATATATATATATATATATATATATATATATATATATATATATAATATATATATATATATATATCTAACTTGTATCTGTATATATATATATATATATAACTTGTATCTGTATATATATATATATATATATATATATATATATATATATAATACTTGTGTGTGTGTTTTTACCTGCGCCACTGAAGAGGCCATGTTGAGAATGGAGTAGTCTCAGGCATTGGTTGCATAGTAGGGCTGGTAATGGTCTTGGCTGGATTTGCTGAGTCCTGTGTTGCCTTCTGATTACTTTCCCTTCAGTCTTCTCTCGTCAAAAGTGTAAAAATCAAAATGAATTGGTCTTCAGGATAAACGCTTAGTGGCTTCTGTTTCCCAGGTATTATGACTGATTCTGGCTTGGAGGAGAGAAGACTTCAGTTTGTCTTTGAATTTGCATTTTGGGGGTCTGCAATGTCATTTGCTATTGACAAGCTCGTTGTAAATGATATTCTGTAGGAGTCTTAAAGAAGCCATTTGGATGGCATGTCCTGACCACATGAGGTAAGGCCTGGTAATGACAACCCTAATGCTCAGCATTTTTGAGTGATTGAGGACTTTGTTGTTGGTGCAATGGTCCTGCCATTTGATATTGACAATCTGTCAGAAATCGACTTTTTTTTAATCATTCAAGCTTTTTTAGGTCCTTTCGATACAGGGTCCATGTCTCACAACTGTAGAGCAAGGTGGAGATGACAATGGTATGGTACGCCATCAGATTTGTTCAGAGTACATGGTTGTTGAACAGATTTTATGTGGTGGGCAATGTCTCTTTTACATGTTCCAGATTGTGTGAAGTGCTGCTGAGCTATTAAAAGTCATTGACAACTTCCAATTATTTATTAGTATAAATATTTATATATATATTTATTAGTAGTATATATGTATATAAAATAATTTAAGATTAAATATTTTTCACCAATTGCAATCATTCTTGAAGATCATGTTTTTGATCTAACTGGAACAGATAATTTGAGGTAAATTTTTTTTTGTCATTTGAAATGTAACTGGACACAGCAACAATATTAAAAATCCACTTGAAAGAAAAAGTACACTTCACAGTAACTATACCATCAATGACAGTTATATCAGTCTTCCTTTCTCACCTATGTATAAAAATGAGTACTTGCATTTTCTCCCTCAAAGCTCTCTTACACACACACACACACACAAGAACTTTACACTCTCAGATGTGCCAATTCAGCATGTATGCAAAACTTATATTCACTCACATATTGAAATTTAATGACATTTTAAAATATTTTGTTTTGTTGAAATTAAATTTTGTTGGTTGTTTTAATAGTTTGATTGTTATTCTTTTTTTTATATATTAGAAATGTTTGGAGCGATTCTTGGATTTGGAACAAAGCAATAATCTTTTATTTTCTAAATTATTAACAAATTTCATAATTTCTTGTTCTAATTCTTTTTATTTTCTTTTTTTACAGGTTTGTGGCCAGACTTGAAGAAATCTGGAATCATATAGAGTTCAAGAAGGATGAAATGGAAATAATTTGTCGGGAAAATCGAAAACTCTTAAAGCCATTGTAAGTTGATTTATCTGATGTTGTAAGATATGGGATATATAATATATTTATAAGTGATTTTTGATTATATCATATTTTGTACTGTTAATTGATGATGGTCAATTAATTAAAAATCTGTAGTAATTAACAACTCCATTAACGATTCTATTTTCCATGCATATTAACACATCTCATCAGGCATTAGTAAAAATATCTGGTGAGTAGACAATTTATTGAGATTTAAAACCAAGATACACCTTCTTTTCAGAAGAAAAGGAAGAAAGAAAGACACAAGATACACCCTCTTTTCATGTTTTTCTTTTGGTGAAACTTGCTGAAATTTAGAAAAATGTATCTATGAACACAAAAAGGATCCTATGCACAACAATTTATCAAATGCATTAGTCAAATAAGTTTAACCACAACTTTCACCTAAAGAATGCCACTCTTATTAAAAGAGAAAATAATTTACTTAAATGGAAAATTCTTGTTAGTGCTACTATTGTATCTTACCAAAATATAAATGTGTGCCCTGGATTTTTTCAAATATCTTCTTTCCTAAAAGTAATACTTTCTCAAGTCAACATACATGACTAAAAATTTTAAAAATCAAAAGAAAACGGTTAAAGTCAAAACCTTTTATTATTTAAAATATATAATACTTAAAAAAAAACTCAACAATAACATTTACTCACTTTCATTTATTAGAAATTAAATTACATCACTTAGCATCGTCCATAGTTTACTTTGACTTACAGTTAGCGGGATGTATATTTATGAGTGTTCTTAATGTAAAGAATTAAAGAAAAAAATAACATTTTTACTTCTGATAGAAATATTTGTTGTAAAATGAAATCCTTACATTTGCCTTGATAAAGTTGATCAGAGAATGAATACATATAAAACATGTGTGGACACACTGTTTCATGCTTGAACAGAATCTTCAATGACCTGAAAATTTTGTTCAAGCATGAAACACTGTCACCAGTGTTGACATCAGTGTCTCCACTACTTATATTTGCACACACTCCATTCCGGATAGTGTGCTATCAATATAGCATACCTTAAAACTATATTTTATCATTCATATATATATATATAATATATATATATATATATATATATATAAAGAAAGAACAGTAAGATATATAATCCGGTGTTCTTATAGATATTTTTATTTTTACAAAATAGTGCTCAATGTAAATTTACAGAGCATTAATATTATAAATTAATTGATTTAAAATGTTTTTTTTCGCTACACAGTTCTAACCATGTTTCAAAAATTAAAAAAGCCCCAAATTTAATTTTGTGATTAAATTAAAGACATTAGTTCCATTTCATCCTCAAGTGAATTTTGGAGTACTCCAAATTTTGGCTTTTAGCTTCCATTTTTGAAACATGGTTAGAACTGTGTAGCAAAAAAAAAAACATATTTTAAATCAATTAATTTATAATATATATATATATATATATATATATATATATATATAAATAAGTTTTTCATGGTACAGAATTTAATAATAGATAGGAGAAGACAATAAGGCATTTTTTAAAAGCAAAAGCTAAAATAAAAACAACCGGTTTCGTCCCAGGACTTATCAAGTTTATTTATTCTGGGAATTTAAAAAAGCATGTAAATTAATTTTTTTTTTTTTTTTTTTAGATGATAAATGCCCAGTTTATTTGCGTCTTCCCTATATTGGTACAGAGGGTGAGAGTTTATCGAAACGTATTTCATGTTTAATCAATAGTTGTTATTTTTCGGTGAATGTTAGGGTAATATTTGTTACCCGTCTTGTTAATTCAGCGATTTACCAATACAAGTGTAGTTGTGGACACGACTACATAGGGAGGACGTCCCAACATTTGGATTCGTTTGGGGACCTTGTGGCATGTAGTGCACCAGGTCTCTGTATTCATCCCTTCAAAAAGTGTGGATGGTCCTGCATGAAACCTTCACCATTATAATCAAATCTCGTGCTGTTGTCGGGCTGTCAGTTTTCTAGGAACTGATCTGCTTGACCCTCATATGCTGAATTCGATGGGAGAGTCGAGTATATGTATGTCTATGAGAAAATAATGTTACAATAATATTAATTTAATGTAATATTTTCCAATATAAACAAAAGAAAATAGCAAAAAACCAAATCAAATCTTTTCACAGATTATTTTAAATTATTTGAATACATTTTGATAAAGTTTCTTTGACAGGAAGAAGTGTTGCCTTTAGCACTCTCAAATAAAGCCATCATTCAAAATTATTAACAATGTATATAATTTGTATTGTCTTTACAAAACTTTGTGTTTTTTCTTAGATTAAATTTGTCAGGGAAATGTGCAGATGAAGGTGTATTCAGTGAAATACAGTCTTATATAGGGAAAAGAGTTTCTTGAATGCACATCTCAAAAAGTTGATTTATTGGGAAACAGAAGTGGATAAATGGGCTGATAAGGTCACTGATCTTTTAAGTACTTGTTGTATAAACCTTGTAGTCAGTACATTATTTAGTGTAAGTTTTTAAATAGCAAGAAAAAAATTGATTCTTTTAAAATCTTAAATAAGATGTAGAAATTAATTATGCAGCCTACATACTTGAAATTTGACACTAACTTATCTTGTTAGTTCTAAACAATTTAAAAGTTTCAAAATTCTTGGTTTCATCATTAAAAAGTTGTTTATGAAAATATACCAAAATTGTGACTAAAAATACTAATAATATATTAGGGCTTTATTAATATGATTGGATGAAAAAAATTATTTGCTGAATTTGTGATAGAATGAAACAACAGATTAAAAATAAAAAATGTAAATTAACTAATTGAAATCTAAAATCTAATTTGGCAGTAGTGACTGAAAAGTGGGTTTTTCTTTACCATTGTTATTTATGTTAGATAAATGGTGTGAGATTGTAGTGAAAGAGATAATCATTTACCCCGAAAAAAGTTTGTTCTGTGTGCGATCTGCCGAAGAAAAATTACAAAAAGTAGTTAGTAAAAATCTACTTCAATGACTAGAATCTATGCTAATGTTCTCCCCTCCCCTGAATGGTGTGACCAATCAGAAAGATCTCTCGATGAACCAAAGCTGTTGTTTTTCGCTTATAAAGGCAGAAGATTTTCTGAGCTGGGGGTGCATAACACGCGTTTTTTGCTCATGAGACATGAAGGTTGGACGTGTGACCCCATTTTGTCATTTCTACTTTGTTGGACTGTTACGCCGGGCTACTGTTTGAACTGCGATTTGGCTACAAGTGTTGTGGTCGAGAAACTGAAGAAATCTATTGCAGTTGCTACTATAAGTTGACAGTCTTTTCTTTTCTTTACTACAACAAGCTATTTCAGCATCTACTTTGTCTCTAGCAAGATGGCGGAAAGACTGTTCGACATAAAACTGATCCCCAAATTCAGTGGTGATACGAGTGGACAGTCTGTGGTTGAATGGATTGTAAATGTGGAATTGGTTTGCGAATTATGTGAGATTATGAAGATTGAATGGATTCTTCCACTTTGCTTGAAAGGCAGTGCCCTTACTGTGTACAGGCAGCTGAGCAAAGAACAGAAAAGTGACATTGAGCAAATAAAGCGCGCTCTACTAACCACGTTTGGAACTGACTGGTTCGTGGCCTATGACCAATTCCAGGCGCAGTGTCTGTGACCTGGCGAGACAGTAGACATATATTTGGCAGAATTAAAGAAGCTTGCCGTACCGATCACCTGTCTGGATTGCCTAGTCATGTTAAGCAGATACTCCGTGTATCATCTAGAATGGAAGACATGACGCTCAATCAATTGTTGACCAGAGCCCGTGTTATCATGATCGACGAAAAAGAGGCTGATGAACCAGTGGCCGCAGTCATTCAACAAATTGAAGTCAAAGAGGATCTGACCCCAGCCATCCGTCGCCATGGCGATGTCACCTGCTATTGGTGCTCTGGGCTGAATCATTTTGCCAAAGACTGCTGCTATCAATGCGAAGAAATGCGCAGCGGGTCGGCGCGAGAGGCATATCTCGATCTACGATGTTTCCAATGTCATAAAGTAGGTCACATTGCCTCTAAGTGCCTGGGAAATGGAATGGGGGACACAACGTCAGCGTTGGTCTTTTCCCCACATCGAGCATGAAAGAGGCGCTCCCTGTGATTAAGGTGCGCATCAATGGAATAACGCATGCTGCTTTAGTAGATTCGGGCTGCTCTCGGTCACTCACAAATGGTTTGATTTGTCGACAGTGGAGCAGACAAAAGATGGATGTACTAACGGCTGATGGAAAGGCTCTCAGAAGCCGGGGAGTTGGAAACATCAAACTCAGTATCAACAACGGTGACCACATCACAGTGTGTTGGTCGTGGATAGCACGTTATTAGGTTTTGATCTGCTCCTTGGGATGGACATTATTACGAAGCTGAGTGGCGTCCACATCACAGAGGCAGGCAAAGTCAAGTTTTCTGATCGGCCCATCTGTGCTGCTTTGAGGATCAATGAGCCTGACTTTAGCACAGAGTTTGACCAAAGGACGAAGACATGGACAGCACTGGGGAAATGGTCGGAAAATAACCCACCAGAAAAGCTCCAGAACTGCGTGTCTGAGTATTCGGTGCCCGAACACGTCAAGGAAGAATACCAGCATGAATTGCAGGTGTGGCTGGACAATGGATGGCTGACTCTGTATCCCGAGAAAGAGCTTGGTCCTCCAACAGGCCTCATCCCGTTGATGGCTGTGGTACAGAAGAACAAGGGAAAGGTGCACCCTGATTATAGAGAACTGAACAAACATGTAGACACATACACAGCTCATGCTGATGTATGTACACAAAAATTGAGAGAATGGAGAAGAAAGGGGTCCAATGTCTCTGTGATTGGCCTTCTAAAAGCCTACTTGCAGGTATGCATGCACCGGTCACTGTGGCCATTTCAGACGGTGATCCTTAATGGGAGGAGATACTGCTTAATGTAAATGAGATTTGGGCTCAATGTGGCGCTGGCCATCATGAAAGCCATTGTGAATGCTGTGCTATCCAGGGATGAGACAATTTGTCAAGTAACGTTAGCTTACATTGATGACATCTACATCAACGAAACCTTAGTGCCTGCTGCACAGGTGAGAAAGCATCTTGTGGACTTTGGGCTCAACTACAAGAACCCAGAATGACTGGAGGACGGTGCTCATGTGCTCGGCTTGCAGGTCTTGGAGGAGCACAACGTGCTTTACTGGAAACATGGAAGCGAGCTTCCAGACACATGACACAACGCAGTGTGTTCTCGTTATGTGGAATGCTGGTGGGACATTTTCCTGTGGGCGGTTGGATCCGCATTGCAACTGCATTTATCAAACGTAGGGTGAATGCTGTCACTTCCGGCGCTGGGATGACAAAACAGATGATGCTCCCCATAGACACATGATAGTGGAATTCATCCACAAGGCCAGTGGTAAAATTTTGAAGCTTTAAACCTAATATCTGTACTCAGATGGTGGATTTATATAAGTGTTCTGACTTAAGTGGAATTATCTAAGTGTTTTGGCTTAGTTGATGTAATTTTTGAACATCCTTTCTTTTGTAATCCAAGGTTGCTGGATGGTGTTCAATTCTATGCTAGGCTTACTGAGGAAGTTGTCAGTGCCTAAAATGTACACTGATTCTTTCAATTGCTTTATGCCTTTATGTTGCTCTCTGTCTATTATCTTGAATAAAGGGTTTGGTTCAAAATTACCAAGTATGATGGCAAACACCTGAAGAAGGATGGCGAGAACAATGAAGGGTGATTCCAGTCAGATTCAACAAGGGTCCGTCCTGAAGGTCCTCATCCTTAGATTTCTTCCAAATTTTTACCATTTGTTAACATTCATAAGAGGATTTGATCCTGAAAATTTCAGCATAATACTTCATTTCAAACAGATTTTATGCTACTCTAAAGATTAAAATTTTGAAAATATTGAATATTCTTGTTTTTTGGAGACCTCTCACTGAAAACAACTTTTATTGCTTGCCTTTGGAACTCTTTTTGCTTCATCACAACCATTATGAGTCTTGTAAATTCAATCAACTAATCACACTCTCCTGTCACTTGTTGCAAGAATCTCAACTGAAATTTTAAAAAATGTGCAAAACCTCCTTTTACAGTTAAAATCTTGGATTTTGGCTTCCTGTCACTGTCACATACAAATCACCTCATTTTCTCTCATCACGCAGTGTATATAGAAAAAAAAAACTCACAGAAAAAACAATAAAACAGATCCCCCTTATTCTGCACTGGGAGGGCAAAAAATGAAAAAATGCAATTTTGTATTTTATTTTTTTTAAAAATTTTCAGCCATTGTAACACATTATCACTTGATTGTATATGTACAGCTGGCCACTTATAGTCGAGGATACCTATTGCATACACTTGCTCAGGCACATTTTGTGTTTATTCAACACCCACAGAGCCCACCTGTGGCTTATACTGCAAGTAGGCTGAGCAGACCTTAGTTACAGTTTCTGGGAAAAAGCATCTGGTAGCAAAGTCTCTGATTAGGAGATTGTAGGTATTGATGATCATAGAACCACCTCTTAATTGCTATTGTTTCCAGGCTTACTCTGACCTGGGGTGGTAGCACCTGTTAGGGTCCCAGCTATGGGCAAATAGTGAACCATAAAAAAAATTAAAACACTAGGAAAATATAAAAATACATTTTATAGTAAAAATACCAGCAATACATTTTTATAAAAAAATTGCCAACAATACATTTTTGTAGTGAAATGAAAAGCAATACATTTTTTTATAGTAAAATGAAAAACAATACATTTTTATAGTAAAATTGAAGACATGGCATACATTGTCAAAAAATAAAATAAAAAATAAACAATTTGCTATGATTAATCTCATTTCTTGTAAGGCAAAATAAGTTTTCACTCCTTGTTTGATTTTGTAAGATTATTTGTTAAAAAAAATGCAGCTAAGTAATTAAAATTTAATCATGAAATAATGTCATTCTCTTGAATTATAACGTTTGAATTTTATATTTAAATTTTGGCATGAAATAACCCATACATCTTGATATATGGCTGTAATGGGAGAGAGATTGGAAGAAAGAATTATTCTCCCATTTACATTTCCCCTATTATGGGCATTATTATATCCACGAGATAACACCAGTATTTAGCAGATGGAACAGAATGGCTGAAAAGAAAAAGAATGACAAACATGCTTTGTTCTCAGAAAAACTTTTATATTACTAAGGCATACACAAAACTATATATACATATATACACGTGTCACACATGAAGAATAATATATCATATATCTACACAGTAAAGAAGAGTCTAAGGAGAAACAAAAAGGAAGGGTCTTATATATAATATGGAGATATTCTATCTTGAGAAGCCATTTTTAGGACTCCAGATTCAAATGGGGTGGATTCAACTGTGCCCCAGGTAAGGACATATTCTACAATCAGGAAACAGTGAGTCTTGGGATTTCCCAAATTGAGGACTGTGAGCTGGAGTTTCATTATATATCTGGGAAAGATATATTCTGAAAGGGAAACAACACCATGGACTTGTAAGATGCTAAGGAGGCAGATTTAGGCCATGGGGAGGCCCAGGCTAAAGAAAGCAACCTTCTGTATTTGCTGCTGTAAACATACTAAAATTAACTGCCATTTTGGTCACTGTATGAAGTGACATCATTAAGCGGCTATCATGTGACCCACATGACTTATCTCCACCAAAAGGAGATAAGTGCCTTTTGTATCTCTACACAACTAAACAAAAACAACCAACCAATCTTGTGTTGCTGGTTCCTTTACTTTAGAAATATATTCTGCCAAAATGTTGTATTAAATCATTCATGACAAAGATGCAACTCCAAACACATCATCATCATTATGAAGAAGAAGAAAGATTTGTCAGGAGATGTCACTGTTCCAGTGAAAGAAAGTAAAAGGTTTGAACAAATATCAACATTACACAAGAAGGGAACAATTGTAGAACTTTTATCCATTGTTAGAGAAAACAGATTTGATGCACTGGAAAATTTGTGAAGGAATCAAAGCCATCTAGATGACAGCATCACTAAAGTCAGCTAGAAGTAGTGAGACTTGTTGTCACTTAATTTCCAGTGAAAACTACCAGTTCTGATTGGTGTGAAAACTTATTAGAATACAAAAAATAAAACACATAGTCTCCAATAGAAAATAAATTATTTTATTTGCTGAGGTTAATTTTAATTTTGTAGTGTCAAAGTATTTTCAATATCTTTTGACTTGAATATGTAAATTTTGTTTTTAGGCCAAAGCAGAAAACCAAATCAGAAGAGAAGGACATTTCTTTGGAGGCACAACAAGGCCACAAATGTGAGTAAAGTAGCATGAATTTCTTGTTATTTTTTTTTCTGTAGCTGAATGATGAAAAAAAACATTTATTCAGTATAGAACTATTTATTTTTGAAAATAGTCTTCTTTGTTGTTGGTACTCTTAGTTCAGTGGTAAATATTAATACGAGTAATACTGTAAATCAGTAATTATGTGTCAGGCAGTCAACTAATTAATCTACATTCATAAAGGATTAAAAATTTATTATTCTCTTTGACCACAGATTATGGACAAAATCTAGAATATTTCTTCATTAAATCAAATATACTTTTAAAAATGTCTCTTGAGCCTGTATGTGACTAGAGATATTATCCACTTTTAACTATCACTGGAATGTTCTCTTTGCCCTGTGGATAGCGGTTCAGATTGAGGAATCGGAGAGCCGAATTTGAATTCCAGTCGAAGCCATTATATTCACTTACATGCTAATACCCTTGAGAAGTTATTAATCCTCTTCTTCTTCTCCCTCCAGCTATAAGTAAATAGTAGGAAAGACTGAGTTCTATAACCTGGGATGGCAACTGGTATAGGAGAAAGACAATTCTGAATTCAAAACATGCAGAGGTTCATTTGGGGACCTTGTGGCATGTAGTGCACCAGGTTTCTGTATTCGGCCCTTCAAAAAGTGTGGTTGGTTCTGCACAAAGCCTTCACCACTATAATCAAATCATATGTGCTGGTGTCTGGGCTGTCGGTTCCTAGGAACGGAGATGCTTGACCCTCATACGTTGACTACAACGGGAGAGTACACCATATATGATAAAAATATAGTTTTAAGGTAGCTATATTTATGCCTCAATATCAGGGATAGAGTGTATGTAATTAGAAAATTGGACATTGGGGTGAACACCCAGCAGTGACAGTCTGTTTCATGCTTAAACAAAATCGGCTGACGATCAGAGAACGTTGTCACAAAACTTGTCACAATTTTGCCATGAATGGCATCACAATTTTTATGTTATTTATTTTCCTGAAAAATTGTTTTAATAGAAAAATTTGATAAATTTCAACCAACATTAGCAGTGGCTGCTCAGTCAACGAATACCAAATATTTCCTTATAAGGTAATGGCTAATATTATCATTATCATTAACCGTGTAGGTAATCAATATTTGATTAAATCAGTCAGGGCAATTTATTGATTTCCTCCAAGCAAGCATATTTTTGTGATGTGATTGTAAAATTGATATATCAACTGATCTTAAAGAAAACCTTTGTACATGCAATAAAACAATGTGTCAAAAGTATGGTTATTGCCTTGACGCTGCTATTATTGTATACACTTTTGACTTCCTTGGCAATGTTTATTTACACGATTATAAAAATATGTGAACCAAGTACAATGCAATATTTATTATTTACCTTTTATAAAGAAATAACTTTGATAAATCTTTTCATCTATATTTCTGAGATAAGGTATTATGTACACTATTTACATTATTCGGACTATTGTCCACAACTTTGTTGCCATATTTATCACAACTTTTCGGCTGATGTATGCGCCAGCCTTCTTCGGGTGGTTGGAATGTTGAACTGAACCCTTTATTTCGCTTGCTAGGGTAGACTGTTATAGTTCTATGTGCCATGTCTAATGGATGTCAGTTATCAGTTATCTCCTGTTAATTCACCTCTCCAAGTTCTCCACTGCCTTAACCATGTATTGAACTCTTTGGGTTGAGTCACTGGATCTAACCAATAACTTTATATACCCCTTAAGGACACATTGCACAGTGGATAAAGAGGGGTGGAAAACAGAGCATCACCAGAATCAAACACTATATCATGACAAGTAGGGCACGGACAAGACTTCCACATGGGAACACCACATGTATGGGACGAATGCAACCGAGACACTGGAAATGCAAACTAGGATGAATGAATTTGAAATGATGCTGTGTGATATGAACAAAAATCCTTGGTAATACATGGCAGTCCCATTTTGCAGTCAATGCGGCACACTGCCAAGCTCCCTGTCTTCCCAGAAAATGTGCCTGCTTTTATGGAGCCTAAAGCTTTAGTGGTTAGCTAGCAAAGGGATCATTTGTGTAACTAACACTGCTCAACTCACTGTTCCAACTATCTTGTGGGGAAACTGGTGAACACTTCCTTTCTTCATAACTGTTGTGAAGATAAATACACCTCTCCAGAAGAGGACTTAGACTTGTCCAAATATATAAATATCAATGCTGAGAATCATCAGTAGAAGGAGAGAAAAATAGTGAGTTAGAGATTGAGCTTATCTGCTTACTACCGATTTCAGCAAGACTATGTTGCCTCCAAGATAATCAATACTACCACTTGATTGTGTAATCTTCATTCAATGCAATGAAGACATAACAGTGGTAATGAGAATTTGAATTCACATGAAAAAAAATTCCTCTCATTTAGCATAAATAGCTGGCAAAGAAAATTCAAAATTCATAATTCATGAAAAAGAATTTTAAGGAGTTTGGGTATATTCATAGCGGAAGTCAATAAGCTTCAAGGCAGTATGATATACTGCTATTAGGAAAAAAAACTTTTTATTCCTAGTTAAGGATGACTTGTATGAACAAAATACACTATGAATGAATTGAAGATAATTATTCAGCAACAGCAAGAATTCCAGAAGACATTATTACAACAAATGCAATGAGAACGAATTGAATATCAAGAACAGATAAAAGCAATCCTGGGAAACCATGGAACAGACAATGCATCAGTTTCATTTTCACCGGACTCAATTAGTGAATTTAATTATATCCCAGAAGAAAACATTACATTTCTATCATACTTTAGAAGGTATAAGGCCATTTTCAGAGGAAAATGTCAAGGATGGTCACATGAAAAGAAGGCATGTCTTCTGTTATGAAAATTATACCCCACTGAACATAAAAAAATATTTGAATTTCATTTGTCTGAATACTCCAGAAAAGATGTCATTTAATGAAACAGTTTCAATATTGAAAATCTTTGGTGAAAAGAATTCACTGTTTTATACACATTGGCAGTACATGAACTGTACTAAGGATGAAAGTGAAGATTTTGTCACATATGCTGGTAACGTCAACTGTGAGTGTGAGAAATTTAAACTGAATGAATTATCCCCCAGATAGATTTAAATGTCTAATCTTCATTAAAGGTCTGACATCAAGCAACAATGCAGAAATGTACTCTTGAATCTTTACAAAACTCGAACAGGATTCAAAATCAATGATACAGATTGTTGTGGAATAGTGCCAAAAAATTGTAAATTTAAGACACAATACAGTGAAAATTGAGTCAAATGGCACGTCAGAAATACAAGTAGTTCAAAAAAAATCATAGTAACAAAAAAAAAAAATTCCAGAATAAAAATACTGAAAAACTTGACTCATGCTATGGAAATGCTTCATTTCAGAAAGGATTGTTCATTTAAAATAAAAAAATGTTATAATTCAAAAACAGGTCACAAATGAAGCTACTGCAAATCGAAAAGCAAAAGAAATACACAAATTAACTTGCTGAAAGTAGTGTTTCAAGCTAAAAAACTGGGAAGTTCAAATAATAAAAAATTCATGACATTGAATAATGATATGGTGAGATTACAATTGGAAACTAGTAGCATTATTACAATTATTGATGAACAAACTTGGAACAGAATTGGCAAGCCTAACTTGAAAAAAAATCCAACAAAGATCAAGAAGAATATTGGGTAGGAAATTATTTTTTCTTGGGAAATCATGTGCAACATTGCTCTTGCAGGTGAAACTAAAAAAGCAGATGTTTATGTATTAAAAAATTCCTACTCAAAGTTACTAGGCGTCGATTGGCTAGAACTATTTGAACTATAGAATTGGCTGATTAATTCATTCTGTGGAAAAATTAACTGCTAGTCAGAGAAAAAGATTACAGCTAAAGTAACACTGAATAAACTAAAAAATAAATTTATAACTATTTTCTCAGAGTAGTTGGGAAAATGTAAAAAGTCAAAGACATTTTTTAAATTAAAAGAAAATGTGATACCAGTGTTTAAGACTAAAAGAAAGATAACCTTTGCTGTGTTGGAATCTATTATCACTGAACTGGATAGGTTAGAAAACCGTTGAGTTATTGAAAAAAATAGATTTTTCAGAATGGACTACGTTAGCAGTTTATATTAGAAAGAAAATAATAAGATTCGTTTATGTGCAGATTTTTCAACTGGGTTGAATGACTGCATTTGCCAAATTAAATGGTGGTAAATCTTTTTCAAAAATTGACCTGTCTGAGGCATATCTTCAAATCGAAGTGGATGCACAATGCCAGTAGTTTTTGATTATTAATATGCATAAAGGACTTTACAAGATTACCCTTTGGTTTAAAAGTAGACCCAGTTATTTTCCAGCAAATAATGGATACAATGTTGGCTGGACGAGACAATGTTGTCACTTACATAAATGATATACTTATTAAGAGTGCTATGAAAATACAGCATGTAAACTGATTCAGCAAGTATTTCAGAGATTGCATGATTAGTTTGAAAATCAGTGACTAGAAATATCAATTCTTTCTGGACAAGATTAAATATTAAGGTCAGATAATCGATGAAAAAGGAAGAAGACCAGATCCCGCACGAGCAAGTGCCATTAATGACATACCTCCCTCAATAAATTTGGTAACCCTAAAATCATTTCTTGGATTAGTGAATGATTATAATATTTATGTGCCAGATATGTACAAATTGTGAGCACCTCTGAATAATTTATTTAAGAAGGGTAAGAAATGGAATTTGGTCAGTGGAATGTCAAAAAGCTTTTGAAGGAATTAAATTACTAACTTAAGAGCTATTGCTGACATTACAACCTGCACCAACAGATAATAGTAGCATTAGATGTGAGCAAATATGGCATATGAACGGTAATAGGCCATAAATTCAAAGACAGCACAGTAAAAGCAGTCGCTCATGCTTCAAGAAGTTTGACAAATACGGAAAAATATTACAGTCAAATTGAAAAGGAAGTGCTTGTTATAATTTTCTGTGTAAAGAAGTTTCACAGGATGATATTAGAAAGAAAATTCATACTGCAAACTGATCATCGGCCATTATTAAATTCTAAGAAACAGACTAAAGCGTTGATTTATGATTTTGTTGAATTATGATTTCAAGATGGAATTTTTATTGTAAAAGAAATTGGCACATGCAGATAGCTTGTCCAGATTGATATAGAAATGTAAAGAAGATTTTGAAGATACTGTGATTGCTTCATTGGAATCTGAAAGTGAAATTAAAAGCCTGGTGTGTAACGCTATAAAATAATTGCTAGTCATGGTAGACGATATCAAAATTCATTCTAAAATGGATACGTTTATTCAAAAACCTATGGATGATGTTAAGTCGAAATAAAGTGAAACTAAAATTAACAATAATACAGCATTTTCTATTTGTGATGGAGTACTTCTGTATGCAGAAAGAGTAGTAATTCTGCTATCACTACAAAAAAAAACAATTCTATGTAGGACATCCGGAAATAGTGAGAATGAAGTCCTTGATGAGAAGCTACATGTCTTGGTCAAAGTTGGACAAAGATATCCAAAATACAGTTAGAAAATGTAATGGTTGTAATTCATCAGCAAAATGAATTAGTTATGTGCCATGTGTGATACACACTTAGGCGATCATGTATCTTTTGATACATAACTGACAAGGCAGATTTTTTCTCATAGTAGGTTACCATTTCTTTCTGTGTTAGACCAGTTGCCATTCAAGGCTATAGAACCTGGTCTGTCCTGCTATTTACCTATAGCTGGGGAGAGAAGAAGAGGATTCATACCTTTCCCAAGGGTATTAGCATGTAAGTGAATATAATGGATTTGACTGGAATTCGAACTTGGCTCTCCGATTCCTCAATCTGAGACACTATCCATTACTCCACCATGCCAAAATCCCCACCTATAAATTAACAGGCATGGCTGAGCACTGATAAACCATGGGCAAGACTACATATGGACTTTCCTGGACCACTAAATGGTTCATACTATTTAATCGTGGTCGATAGTTTTGCAAAATGGGCTGAGATATTGAAGTGTAAACAAACTATTAGGTCATCCCATAAGTTCTCTTCGAATTGTAACTTTTTGTTAAAATGAACAAAATTTAAAGAGTATTTTATAATGTCTAATGGAGCTGAACATTATTTTTATGTTTAGATGCATTTAAATTGATTAAATTTTATTTCAGAGAACAATAAAATTAAATTTTGCTTGATTAAAACCCTGCTAACATGGAAGTACCCAAGAATCATTTTTTGCACATAATGCTTTATGAGTTCAAGAAAGGAAACTCAGCAGCTGAAGCAGCTAGAAACATTCACTCAGTTTATGGAGAGGAATGTGTGAATGAAAGAACTTGCAGAAGATGGTTTGCAAAATTCAGAGGTTGAGATTTCACCCTTGAAGATGATCAAACCAGACGTCCAGTTGAGTATGATGAAAAGCTTCTTGAAGCAGCCCTTGAAGAAAATCCTGCTTTATCAGTTGAGCAATTGGCAGTGGTTCTCAGTTCAAACCATACAACTGTTCATCGTCATCTTCAACAGCTTGGAAAAGTTCCTAAACTTGGAAAATGGGTGCCTCATGAATTGTCTGAAAACAATCTCAAATCCAGAGTTGACATCTGCTCTTCTCTCCATTCTCGCCAACTTATTTCACCTTTTTTGGATAGACTTGTGACTGGTGACAAAAAATGGATCTTTTATCGAAATGTTAAGTGTTGTAGACAGTGGCTTGCTAAAGGGGAAGGAGCCCAGCCACAGCCGAGAAGGGAACTTCATGGGCAAAAGGTTCTTCTTTCAATCTGGTGGGATCGCCAAGGAATAATCCACTTTGAATTCTTACCACCTAATGCAACAATTAATGCTCAAATATACTGTCAGCAATTAGAGCATTTGAACCAAGCTTTGAGGAAAGAAAAAACCTGCTCTAGTGAATCGAAAAGAGGTGATGTTTCATCAGGACAATGTGCAACCCCACACAGTAAGAATCACGTCACAAAAGATCGAAGAACTTGGTTGGGAGAAAATTCCCCATCCACCTTATTCTCCCGATCTTGCTCCTTCAGACTACCATTTGTTTTGTAGCTTACAGAATCATTTGGAAGAAACAGCTTTTGTAACTCAGGAAGCGGTTAAAACTGATATTTGTGAGTTCTTTGAATCAAAGTCAAAAGAATTTTACAGTAATAGAATTAGTAAGCTTGTTAATAGATGAAAGGAAATCATAGATAATCAGGGAAAATGCATTGTTGATTGAATCTGTAATTAAATGTAACATTTGGTCACTTGTTTTCTTTATTCAAAATTCGGCCAGAACTTATGGGATGACCTGATACTACTGTAATAACTATTAAATTCTTGCATGAACTTTTTGCAAGGTTTAAAGTACCTGTGTGGTATTCAACAATGGACTCAATTTAATTCTCGGGACTTTAAAAATTTCTGCAGAAGCTATCATCTGAAGTCAAATAGTCAAGTGGAATGGTTTGTTGACACCTTCAAAAGGTCATTAAGAAAATCTAAAGGCTTGGAAGCTGAAGAAACAGCACTATAAGAATTTTTGAGCATGTATCGAATGACATCAAATGCAAATGTCACCACAAAAATGTCACCTGTAGAGAAAAGTCAGATCCATTTTTGACAAATTATTGCCAGGAAATAAGAAGAAAGTTCAACAATTTCAAACTACAAGATCATTTAAGATCGGTAATAAAGTTTTCTTTAAAAACTTTAAGGCTGGAAAAGAAAATTGGCAGGAAGGAAAAATTATTCAGTGCTTTGGTAGTATTATGTATATTAATGAAGGTGGATGATTTTTTCATAAGAGACATCTAAATCAATTGAGGCCTAGATATGAACAGAATAAGCAACCAGTAGAATTTAATTTAATGATGGACATACTTTACAATACTTTTGAAGTACCTATTGCTAAAACTGAAGTTAGAATACAACATCAGGTTAAGTAAAAACATAATCCAATTGAAACATTGGATTGGACCCATATTGGAAAAAGTATTGACTAAAGAAAGTGCATATCTAAAAAGGAGGGTGTTGTGGAGAGGAACATACCTCTCCAGAAGAGGACTTGGACTCGTCCAAATACATAAATACGGATGCCGAGAATAGTCAGTAGAAGGAGAGAAAAGTAGAGAGAGATCTAGCTTATCTGCTTTCAGCAAGACTACTGCTTGATTGTGTTATCTTCATTCAATGCAATGAAGACTAACAATAACTAATCTTTTGGGGTTTGCACTGGCTTTGTTTTGGTAGGGAAGCCATGTGCTGACTTTCTGCAGGCAGCACACTAAATGTCGTCTCTGACCAATGGGGGCGGGTACCATTATAAGTAGCAATTGACTGCTCCGTCTGCATTTTGTTTCTGCTACAAAAACAAAAAAAAAAAACAAAACAAAAATAAGCAGAACAACAGACCCCAACATAACCACTGAACTTTTTTTATGTGCCACTCAGATCCAAAAAGAGTAATGCAAAAACAAATTTTGGATCAGCAGAAATGGTTTTGTGATTTTTTTTTCTGTTTGTACAGTGAGGTTCACCCTGTACAAGGCCCAGGTAGAGGGTTATATTGGCATTTTATATGGATATGAGTATAAGATAATGGTTAAATTTAGGCTTGAACAAATTAAGATTGTAGTGATCATGGAAACATCCTTTTGGGAGTCAGTTGCACAGAGCAATGGTTCATGAGAAGAAACTGTTTGGAACTGACTTCTAGTCAGTGGAATATGGAGGGAATGTGAGTCGTTTGCTACAATGTATGTGGCATGGTATGTCCTAGCTGTGAAGATTAGAACTGCTAGAACCAAAAAATGTAGTTTGTCCAAGCACTTTTCATGGAAATAGTGATAGAACGGTGAGAGGCTTTCCACATAGCAGCTGTGAGAGAGAAATTGGAGGGTGGAAAATAATGTCACCCCAAGGACTTAGAAACACTTTTGAACTCTATCGAAACTGGAAAGTGACAACTGGGCAGCACCCACCCAAATATGACAAGAGTTCTCCATTCTTGGCCTTATCTGGCTCTTGTAAAGATAGAGGATAGCATATGAAGTCAGGTACTTACTGTAGTGGTACAGAGTGCCAACCATTTTTCCTGCATCTTTAGCAATGGATGGTATGTACAAGTTCCATTTGAAGTCAGGTGTGAGTTTAAGATCCAATAGTCACTCAAGGCACGGAGCCTCCCTGAGGGGACATCTATTCATCCAATCAGATATGATGGAATGGTCTTCAAAGTATTTCAATTATGTGGGTAACAAACAACAGCTAATATCTGTAGGTAGCCATAATAAAAGTAGTAAACTATCAATTAAATTTCATCTCCCAGAAACAACTGACTGGTACAAATTCTAATTTTGCTACTGGTTACAATGTTTATTCCTCCCATGGTTACTATTTCATGGGAGTTGCCTTCATTGTTTAAATTAACCTCAAGAATCTTACAAGAATTCTTCAGAGAATGTTTTTTTTTTGTTGTAGTTACAATATTTCATTTGATCCATGCTGTGAGTGTTTTCCTTCATCTTAATTTTGGTAGTGTTTACAATTTCAGTTTGTGATTTTTAGAGTCAAACTAAAACAGCAACTTCAAATATTTCCATCTTTCTTTTGAATGGAGAGTCAGGTATATATTTATAATTACATAAGAGATCAAAGGGCTGGAGAATGGGTTGGCCAAAATATTCTAACAACAAAAAAATGAGTTTATTAATGAGAATAATTATTGGAATGATGATGATAATTCTCAGAATTATAGAAAGTATCTTCAAGAATGCTAGTTTGAAATCAATCTCAGATAAATCTTTGGTAAATAGAAAATGTCTGGAATAAAGACAATCATATTTTTCCCAAAGATCAACCATAAACTAAGTGAATGTTGTTATAGGGACATGAAACATCAAATCATTTTTGTCCAGTTGTTAAAAAAAAAAAATGCATTCATTTTTTTCGTTTTACAGATCAAATGATTGCTTCTTCTGAAAATGAACTTGCTGAATTAAATCTGATTAACAAGGCTCTTGAGAAAGCAGAAAAAGCTTGGAAGAAGGTTTGTAAAAGATTTGTTTTAGATGCCAAATTTAAACAGTGTTTTGCATAAGTTTATCCTATAAGTTTGTACTTTTGTTAACTTGTACCATTGAAATAAGTTAAGGTGTAAACTAATTTTTAAAATAAATATATTATAATCTAGATGACAAATTATGATTAATTTTACTTGGATTTCATTTTATGAATTATTTGTCATTGATTTGGATGGGGTTTAAGGATCATAAGTTGTCTTCTTTTAGGACTGTTAAATGCTGGTTAATGATAATAATGCAAAAATTATAAAGAAGAGATATTTGTAATCAAATATTTTCATCATCATCATCATCATCCTCCTCCTCCCCTTGACTTTGTAATTGTAGGGTGGATCTGAATGCAGAAGCCACTCTAACTCTTTTCCATAGCAGCCATCAGCAATTCTGGTACAGTCATACCTGTCCATTTTTTGACATTGTCCAACCAGTTTTTACGTTGACGTCCCTTTCCTATGTCCACCTTCATGCCTTGCATAGGCTGTCGTACCTTGTAATGTGTCCAAACCACGCCATTTTTCTCTGTTTGACAGTGTCAAGAAGAGGTTCCTGGTGTCCCACAAAACTTTCAACTCTTTTCCGAACAAACTCATTAGTTTTTTGTTCCCAGTAGAAAATGCCAAAGAGTTTTCTCATTCATTTGTTCTCAAACGCTTGGATCCTTCTCTCTGTATCCGCCAACAATGTCCACATTTCATGCCCATATAGGAGAATGGACACTACCAGCGATTTGTACAGTCTGTACTTTGTTTGAAAGCTGATTTTGCTCCTCCATATTCTTTTCAATGTGGTCATTGCTGTCATGGCTGCAGCAATCCATGTGCAGATTTCCAAGTTGCAGGTACCATCTTTAAACAAGATTGCTCCTAAGTATTTAAAACTGGGCACTTCCTCCAATGAACTCCCATTCAGGTGATATTGTTTGTGCTATTCACCATTATTTCTTTGAGCTAACTGCCATTCCATATGCTCCTGCTCTTTCAAAATGTTTGTTGGTCAAGTCCTGGAGCTCCCTGTTACTACCTACTATGAGGTCAATGTCATCTGTAAAATGTAAGTTACAGACAGGTTGCCACTGATAGAGATTGAAGGATCATGGTCGTTCAAGGTTTCTTGCATGATTCTCTCTAGAAATATGTTGAACAATGTGGGTGAAGGTACGCATCACTGTCACACACTGACAGTTGTCTGGAAGAATCCTCCCATTTGTTTTCACAGAAGAACTGTGCTAGTGGCATCTTTATATAGGGCCTGGATGACTTGGATAATTCCGTTATCTACATTGAATTCTCTAAGGATTTGCCAAAGACCATCATGCCATACATGATCAAATGCTTTCTTGAAATCAACAAAGTTGTGGAACATGTCTTTCTGATATTACAGGTATTTCTCTACAAGGATCCGATAATTGAAGATCTGTTCCATTGTACTTTGTCTGGTTCTAAAACCTACTTGTTCTTCTGATAGCAGTTCTTCAGCTTTGGATTTCAAACAATTCAAAATTATATTAAGTAGTACTTTACTAGGATGACTGATCAGGCTTATTGCCCTATAATTTCAACACTGCCTGAGGATTCCTTTCTTTGGCAGGGGTATTACCAATGACTGAGTCCACTCATCAGGCCACTTTTTATGTTCCCAAATCTTCTGGCATAGTGTTGTTATGACTTTGATGGCTTCTTCACCTTCATGTTTTATCAGCTCAGACTTTCCAGGTTTCAAGCTCTTTAATGTCAACTCGACCTCTTCTTTCATTATTGATGGACTCATCTTCATTTGTGGAGTGCTGGTCACTTTGCAATCTGGAGACATCTTGATGAAGCTGGTAATTGTATAAACCATCACAGTATTGAGTCTATCTATGGAGAACCTCCTCATTGTCCATCAACAATTTACCATTCCCATCCTCTACGACTGTTGCTCTTAGTTGGCTGGTCTAAGTGACGGATTTGTTAGTATTGTAAGCCTGTTTGTTATTGCCAGTAAGCATATCCTTCTCAATGGTTTTGCACTTATTTTGTATCCACTCCTTTTTAGCTATCTGCATTTTTCTCCTTATGTCACTGTGCACTTCCTGATATTGGGTGTAGACATCATCACTTGAGTGCTTCTTTCCTCTCAGTTCTCTCCTCTTATCGCATAAATCTAAGATTTCATTCATGACCCATGATTGGATTTTCCGTCAGTGTTTTCCCAAAACTTCCTCAGCTATTGTGAGTAACGATTCTTTAATATGATCTGCAAAAGTGTCTACATCACTATTATTTAGGTTCAGTGCTGAAAACTTTGGTCTGGAACAGTTGAGTGACTTCAGGGTCTTTTAGTTTCTCAGCACTGAAGTGGATAATGGAGTCCTTTGAACGACGCTTAATTTTGAGCCTTAATTTAAAAGTCGTCATCACAAGATCATGATTGTTGCCAGGAAATGTCCTTGTGTTTGACGTATTAATGCTGGATGTTTTGCTTACTCAATAAAAAATGCAGTCAAGTTGTACTGAGACCAAAGCTAGTTCCCTTATTTTTTTAAGAATAAGTTAAAAAAAAAAATTAAAACAATAAGCATTAATTAAAAACAAAATTATTTTTAATCTTTAAGAAATTAAATTAAAATCCTTAAAAAATCCCCAAAAAGTAAATGGACACTCTTTTAGACACATTCCTGTTATGATGACTGGCTTAGTTATTCTGGGAAAATATTTACAAATTAAAGAGAAGCTTTGATATAATGATTTTTTTGTTTGCTCTGATAATTACTTGAGCAGATAGCCACTATGGTATAAAGACAGTTAATTTGGAAGTAATGAGTTTTAAATCATGTGACTAATTAGGAGATAATGTTCAAAGTTATTGCCTAATGTATAATGAATCTTTTAATTTCCTGTATGTTAATGAGATGTTACATTATCAGGTGGTTGATGTTGATGTATGTCTAGTAAGTCTGAATATTTAACACAGATATAAAAATTTGATCTTGGTTCCTTGGTATTTAATATGGATATAAAAATTTGAATTTGTTTTTCAAAAATATTTTTCAAAATAGTTGAAAAACACTTCCCTAAATTTCCCAGCAAACTATCAAAAATCTAAAAAACAAGTCAAAATCAGTTACAGCTGCATGAATAATATGGAGGAAATAATAACAAAACCAACAACAACCACAACTTAAACCAGCAAAACAACAGTAATAAATGCAATTGTCGAAACAAAGACAACTGTCCATTTAGTAACAAATGCCTAAACAACAACATAATATACAAAGCTACTGTAACAAATAATATTAACACAGAAGAAAAAAAATTATATAGAAGCCAGAGAAACAACCTTTAAAGAAAGAATCACAAAACATCATTCAAAACAGAACGATACTCAAACAACACAACCCTATCGAAATATATATGGAACCAAAAAGAAAACAACATTCTCACCAAAATTAAATGGGAAATCATAAAAAGAGCAGCCCCATACAATAGCAGAAATTGTAAACTATGCTTAGAAGAAAAATTAGCAATAATCACTTTTAAAAACCAAAGCAAAATACTAAACAAGTGATATGTCCCGGAAAGGGATATATTTGTTTGAAGTAGCAAAGTGGTTGCTGATTACTGTAACCGGGTAGAACAATCTAGCAGGTAACTGTAATGGACTAGTCCTTGTTGTAGGCAAAGACTATAGGCGTATCCAATATGCTTTGTCCCTGTACCTCCACATCAGTCTGTATTTATGGCTGACACCAGCCAATCATATTACTGTGAGGGGGAACCCAGGTGTATGCATATTCATTGCATCAACAAGAAAAATGAGATAATAGGTAAATGCAGACACTCAAATAAATACTTACTTTGTCACCTAAATACTAATACAAATGAAGCAAACAAACTCAATATAAAATGCAACTCTATTGCAATCACAACTCTCCACACTCAACACCTTGTCCCCACTGAAACCAACTGAAAAAAAAAAACAATCAGAAAAAAGAGTAACTGCAATATTGATAACAAACAAGTACCAATTCACCAACAAATGCATTAACAAAAGCAAGTACAACCAATACCTATACTTACCACACCATAAAAACCAACATGAGTACACACATATGTACATATGCACATATAAATACCCACACTTACACTAATCACAACACAAAAATACGCATACACATGAGTGAGTATGCACACTATCTGTGCACACAGATCAACATCAATAAAGAAAAAATGTAAACAACAGATACATCTGCACACAGAGAAATGTAAAAAAAAAACAATTACACAAGTTATCCCCTAAAATACAGTAATTTACATTAAAAAAAAGAGACATACAACTAACACCAGTAATCATATGGATATGTGAATGTGTACACACATGTACATAAACACATACTAAGACGCACACAGTCAAATATATCAGACATGTAAGTAACAATTTCTCAATATTAATTTTATATATATATTCACGCACACACACACACACACACACACACACACACACACACACATATATATATATATATATATATATATATATATAATAATGAAAGCGCAGTCCTTAGAAATTCATAGGTGATAATTTATTTCATGGGATCAGATGCCCATCTCTTCAGACCAAAAAATTTTACAAAGTATTTAAGGCTTTAATCAATGCTGAAGTCATTAAGCATCTTACCTCTCATAAACTATTCTCTAAACAAACAATATGCCTTCCATTTTGCCAGGTCTACTGCTGATGTGATAACGGCCATCACTGAATAAGTATATCAAGCTCTTAATAATAATGGTGAAGCTCAAGCTGTGGCTCTAGATATCTCAAAAGCATTTGACAGGGTTTGGTCTTCTACATAAGCTCCTAGGCTACAGTATTACTGGACATTTGTTTGATTTAATCCAATTGTTCCTATCTAATCATGAAAGGTTGTTTTGAATGGGCTCACTTTCAAATCCTTTCACACAAATGCAGCTGTCCCCCCATGGCTCTA